GGCGGATGATTTAAGCGATCGATGGGCGAAATTGAAAATTACTGATGATGAATGTGAAGTTGCGGAATTATGTGAAGTGGAAGATGGCGAATCGAAGGGGAATATTGAATTGTCCTTGGTTGCCAAATTATTAACGATTAGGGCTTACAATTTTGAAGCCATGAAAAAAACTCTAACTCAAATATGGGCCCTCAATAATGGGGTCATATTTAGACGTATTGAAAACAATCTCTTCGTGGTGCAATTCTTTCACTGGAAAGATAAAGAGAAGGTGATAGATGGATCACCGTGGACGTTTGATAACCATCTTCTCCTGTTCAAGAAGATGCACCGCAACGAACAACCTGAAAGCGTTGTAATCAAACACTGCCCGTTTTGGTTGAGATTGTATAATCTTCCATTTGATTGTAGGTCAAATGCGGACGTGAGGTTGATTGCGAGCAAAATCGGGCCAGTGGTGGAGGTTGAGGATGATGTGCTTGGGTGGGATAAGTCAAGGAGGGTTAGGGTGTTGATTGACACAACAAAAGCCCTGAGAAGATTGCAACAAATTCGGCGTAGAGATGGAACAACAACAATTGTCCATATTAAATACGAGAGGCTTCCTAACTTTTGCTTCTTGTGTGGTCTGATCGGGCATGCGGAGCGTGATTGTCCCACAGTGGATGACGAGGGTGAGGATGTGGAGAAGCAATGGGGGTTGTGGCTAAAGGCGTCACCTCGCAAAGGTGCTTCTACGAAAAAAGTAGAGAATGAAAGGCTTCGATCTGCAAAGGCCTTGTTATTTACCACAAAGCCAAGATCTCAGTCGTCGAAGGTTGGGGTGACAATGGAGGAAGTTATTGATAATCGAAGAGATAAGTCTAGAGAAATTAGGTTGACACCAATTTTTGATGAAACTCTAAACCAGGTGGTGCTTCGTCCTAAACCAGTGGGAAGTAGTATAGATGCGGATGTGAGGAGAGGTGAGGAGGTGTCTGGGGTGACTGGAGAGGGACTCCCTAGGTTTGATAGGGGGTGTGAAGCTGAGGGGAATATGAGGGATTTCGAGGGTTCCGTAGAAAAGGAGGGGGAAAACGTGGAAGAATCGATCTGTGATAAGGAGGGGGATGTGAGGAGCTTACTGAAAAGCAGGGGCAGAAGTTGGAGAAGGATAGAGAGAGTGGACTTGGGAGATAAGCAATTTTCCTCAGTGTCTCAAGATGGGGGGGGGAGAAGCTTATTCATAAAAAGAGGGCGTTAGGGGAACAAGAAATGATGGGGGGGGCAGATGCTCGAAGGAACGATGGAGAAGAAGAGGAGGGTTGCATTATCTGGCGAAGCTGGGAACAGTAATATTCAAGTAGAGGGTGTTGGTAATTCCCAACCCCTCGAAGGACAATGAAAATATTAAGTTGGAACGTCTTCGGGATTTGCAACCCGAGGACGGTTGATACCCTCCGGGATTTATGCTGGAGGGAACGGCCCAACATTGTCTTCATTATGGAGACAAAAGCAAATGCTCAGGTTGTTCGGAGTGCCATGTGGAAGTGCGGTTTTACGGAAGGAGTTAGTCGCAGTTGTATCGGTAGGGCAGGGGGGATAGGACTTTGGTGGAGAGAGGTAGATGTGTGCGTGGTTTCTTTCTCAAGTCACCACTTTGCTATTGATATAAGGGATGATCAGGGGGTTACAAAATGGAGAGCAATAGGCATTTGTGGCTGGCCGGAGGGGGAAAATAAATATAGAACTTGGAGCCTGATGAGAAATATGAAAAGTCAATGTGAGTTTCCTTGCCTTATGTTTGGTGATTTCAACGAAATTATCCGTATGAGTGAGAAAGAAGGGGGGGCTGCTAGAAGAGATGCTTTGATGAATGATTTTAAGTGCACAATTGAAGATTGCTCGTTGCATGACCTTGGTTATAGTGGGAGCCCGTTTACTTGGCAGCGTGGTAAGAGCGTTTCCACGGTGGTGCAGGAGAGACTAGACTGGTTCTTGGGTGATACGGGGTGGTGTGGTTTATTTCCGGAAGCTGGTGTCAGGCATCTGGCTAGGATAGCAAGCGATCACTCTCCCATCATTCTCGAGACATCGATGCAATCCAATCGAAAGAAGTGTGTAAATTCTTTCAAGTTTGAGGCGTGGTGGCTAGCAAATGAGGAATATATGCCTGTGGTTAGAGATGCCTGGATGATGGGGGCTAATAGTCCTATTCATGAAAGAGTAGGACTATGTGCTAAGCTGTTGAAGAGGTGGGCGTTTAAAACTTATGGGGACCGTAAGAAAAGGTTGAAGAATAAAGAGGAAGAGTTGAGGGCTGCTCAGGCTAGTCCACTTGATGCTCATTCACTGGTAGAGTGTGAAAGGTTGGCGGCAGAGGTTGAGAATATGAGGAGACAGGAAGAAACGTATTGGTTCTCAAGGGCAAGGGCGAATGAGATGCGGGATGGTGACAGAAACACTTCTTATTTCCATCGGAAAGCATCACAAAGAATGATGAATAATAGGGTGTCTGGAATATATGACGCTAGTGAGATTTGGCAGGAAGAAGAGCATCGAATAAAGCAAGTTGTGGCTGACTATTTTCGATCCCTGTTTACATCTGAGTCGCAATGTGACATAGAGGCTGCAACTATGGGTCTTGAATGCCTTGTTACAGAGGAGATGAACACAGCACTTGATGCCAATCCTATTGCGGATGAAATCAAAGAGGCGTTATTTCAGATGCACCCGAATAAGGCCCCAGGTTTGGATGGTTTTCATGCTTTATTCTTTCAGAAATTCTGGCACATTATTGGGAGTAGCATTGTTGATATGGTCATAAAATGGTGGGACGGTTCTTTTGTTATAAATGAGCTGAACAAGATGTGTATTGTTTTAATCCCGAAATGCAATAAGCCAAAACAGATGAAAGATTATAGGCCGATTAGCTGTTGTAATGTGCTGTACAAAATAATTTCAAAAATGATGGCTAACAGGCTTAAGCCTTTTTTGAATGATATTGTATCTCAAAATCAAAGTGCTTTTATTCCGGGGAGAATGATCACGGATAATGCCCTTGTAGCGTTTGAAACTTTTCATACGATGAAGAGAGGAGGTGAAGGAAGATGGGGGTCAGTAGCTCTGAAGTTAGATATGTGTAAAGCATATGATAGGGTTGAATGGGGGTTTATGCAGAGGGTTATGGAAAAAATGGGTTTTTCGAACAAGTGGATTGATAGGGTCATGCTTTGTATATCTACTGTTTCGTTCTCCTTTAAGGTGAACGGAGAGGTGTATGGGGATGTGAAACCCACCAGGGGGCTTAGACAGGGGGATCCTATTTCTCCTTACCTATTCATTCTATGTGCTGATGCTTTTTCAGGGTTAATTAACAAAGCAGCCCGGGAGAAGAGGATACATGGCACGAGAGTTTGTCGAACGGCCCCTAGAATTTCTCACCTATTCTTTGCGGATGATAGCCTCCTTTTTGCTAGAGCTACTTCTCACGAATGTTCCACTATAGCTGAGATAATCAGGGTGTACGAAAGAGCATCGGGCCAAAAAGTCAATCTAGATAAGACGGAAGTTGTCTTTAGCAAAGGGGTGTCGCAGGATCGTAGAGATACAATAATTGGAACGCTGGGTGTTAAAGAAGTGGTTATGCACGACAGGTACTTGGGTTTGCCTACCATTGTCGGGAGATCCAAAAAACAAATTTTTGCTAGATTGAAAGAGAGGCTGTGGAAACGGTTGAATATATGGAACAACAAGCTTCTATCAAGGCCTGGGAAGGAGGTGCTTATAAAGGCGGTGGCTCAAGCGATCCCAGCGTATATGATGAGTATTTTTAGGATTCCTGATAGTGTTATTGAGGAGTTCCATAGAATGCTTTGCAAATTTTGGTGGGGCTCGAAGGAAAATAGAAGGAGGATCCACTGGAACAATTGGGAAGCTCTTTGTAAACCGAAAGCTATGGGGGCTTGGGGTTTAGAGACCTTAGATGTTTTAATACGGCTCTATTGGCAAAAACAGTGTGGAGAATCTGCCAAAATCCCAACACTCTGCTGGGTAGGATCTTAAAAGCCCGGTATTTCAAAGATACCAACATTTTACAGGCAGGCAAAGGAAATGACCCTAGCTATACCTGGAACAGTTTATGGAATGCAAAGAGGCTTCTGTGTTTGGGAATGATGTGGAGAGTTGGAGATGGTAGGAAAATCAGAATCTGGGAGGACCAGTGGACCTGTCGTAATGGTGCTCCCTGCTTGTTAACAAGGCCTGCAGGTCTGGCGTCGGTGCAATGGGTGCATGAGCTGCTAAATGAAGAAGGAAATGTGTGGGATTGGCAAAAAGTTGAGGGTATCCTGGGACAAGAAGCACATCAGGTCCTATCAATTCCAGTTGCTCAATTTAGGGGGTCTGATTCGTGTTTCTGGTTTTATACCAAAACAGGATACTACACTGTAAAGTCAGGGTACTGGTTAGCATGTTCTTTAAGTGGCTCACCTATAAACTCCAATACCCTACACAATTGCTGGAAGACTATATGGCGAATGAAAATCCCGCCAAAATTACAACACTTTCTATGGAGCGCTTGCAAGGAAAACCTGGCTGTAGGAGTAAGACTGCAACAAAAGCATATTTCTCAGTCAGCTATGTGTAGGTTGTGCAATAATGTAGATGAATCTTCCATTCATGCGATGTTCCAGTGCTCTTCTGTAAATGATATTTGGGATAGGAGCAATTTCAAACTATTACTGCAGGATGCACCGATGGAATCTTTTGCCTCTAGGTGGGCATGGATTGGTGAAAGGGTCACTAAGGCAGAGCTTGAAAGGTTTGCTACGCTATGCTGGGCTGCGTGGAGATGCAGGAATGTGGCTGTTTATGAAGCATCCAGGCCGGATGCTGTTATGCTTGCTGCAAATTTCTGCAAATGGGTGGATGATCATCACGAATATAGACAGAAACTGCAGCATCCTAATATAGTATAGGCCCCTCTTTCTGTGGCTAGATGGGTTTGCCCTCCCCCAGGTATGGTAAAGCTCAATGTAGATGCTCAAGTTGCTGGTGGGGTCTATGCAGGGTTAGGGGCTGTTATAAGGGATGAAAATGGCCTGATTGTGCTTACAGCCACGAAGAGAATGAGGATAACTGATGTGGTAAACTTGGACGCTATGGCGATTAGATTTGGGATGAATGTAGCTTTGCGGTTTAACTACAAATGCATTTGGGTCGAATCTGACTCCCTCTCGGCTATTAACTCAGTCCAGTCAAAGACGTTGGGTAGAACTCCTTTCTATTTGGTGATTGTTGATATCATTAAACTTAGAGCCTTATTCAATATTTGTAATTTTTCTCATGTTAGAAGGAACGGGAACACAGTTGCCCACCTAGTTGCTAGAGGTGATACGGGGAGTGATTCGGAGTTGATCTGTTTAAACTCTTTCCCTCAAAGTATTGTAACGTTGGCAAATTTAGATCTCGTTTAATATAAAGGCTCGAGTTTTCCTAAAAAAAAAAAAAATATTGCACTTAAAATTAAACTAGACAATTTAGGTATAAAAGCACTACAATTATTATGAAAGAAGATGTTCGGAGGTTTGTAAAGAAGTATTTGGAAAATCTGATTAGTTATTTATAGGTAATAGGTGTACTTAAATAGTATTCTTTAGTAGCTTGATTAGCATAATGTATTGTTATATTCTTTTGCTTTTATAAAAAAAAATAAAAAAAAATAAATTTGTAAGGTGTCATATAAGTTTGATGTACATGGTGAGGTGTTTGTTTTTGTTGTTGGGGTTAGAGGTCGGTGTTCCCATTTGTTTTTCGGATGAGTTATATTCATTTTATAAACTGCCCATATTAGGGATTACGTTTATTGGTGTACTTTTAGTGTTATACTCCGTATAAAATACTAATTAATTGCTTATGCTTCTTCGGTTCTCCTAAAGACCCTGATCAAAAATTCTAAATCCGTTACCATTAGTGTTTTGTGAAGCTTTAAAAAGTTATATATAGATAAGAAAAATACAAAGTATGTCAAATGAACTTTATGAGATTTGACCCGATCTCTAAGTCACAGAAATTTAAAATAAAGAGTGATGTCATTACTCAATCATCTCAACCTGGTAGATGGCCCATGCTTATCTCAGTTATCATGCATATTTTGATAGTTTATACTACGTGTACAAGCACTTATAAAAAAGTGCAATAAGGTAGAAATGAGAAAGTTACTACAATGGGCAATGGCACATGGTTTAAGGGGGACAAAACAATGGTAACAAATACATAATGCCACAAGTTCAAGGTCCATGCAATGGATGAGGTGTCTTATGCCGGCAAATCTAGACAAATGGATATCAAACTGCTCTCAAGATTAACCTCCTTGATGGCCAAAATCATGGTATCATGAATCATCCCTCGAAAGAAAAAAAAAAAAAAAGTGGGAATTGAATTGGAATTGAAGGAAATTTATTTTAAATAAGTTAGATTGGTTGAATTCTAATTGGTGGTACAGCTGTTGCAATAAAGATCTTTCATATGTCAAAAAATCTTGTACGAGGGTATATTGCAAATTTGCAATGCATGGCTTTAGTATAGTTTGATCACCCTGTTTTCCAAATAAAATACTCCAGCTGGCCCTATAAACATTGTTTGATTAACAACCATAGTTGTTCAAATCATTGATTTACAACCCTAAAATAGTTCTCTAGAGATTATGCTATCAGAGTACAAGTTATACTTCTTTTAGAGAGATCATTAATTGTTTACACGAGTATATTTTTTCACTTTAATTTTAGGAATACTAAGTTCAGATTTGTGAAATAAAGTCAATAGAATGCACCTTTAATAATGTAGTTGATAATTTGATATACAATGATAATAATGTTCATACTCTATAATCTCGTACATATAATCCTAAAAAATTAATTAGTTATTACTCTGTTTATTCAAAAAGCATCAAAACTTATACTTTACAAAATCAAAAGTAGAATAACTATCATCATCATCAAATATTACTACCTAAAGAGACATGACCTACACGTAAATGTGCAATGAAAGATATTTTTATAACCAACATCTGAGATTATCTTTAGTTTGTCCAACTCTAAATTAAATCTATTAAAAATAAACAACGAGTTTTTAAAATAAGGTAAAAAGAGTCTTGACTTTTCTATCGGTAATATACTTATTATTAATCGCCCAAAAAAATCTTCTATCGTCATGAGACAAAAGTGTATAAATAAGAAGACGAATATAATATAAAATAAAATAATATTCGAACGAAACACCTTATATTAAAACCAAAACACGATCACATTGTGTGACATCTAATCCATTTCTTCCAATCCCATAGGCCATAGCCTCAAACACACACCTCCCACACCCAAACAAAAACACACACAAAAAAAAAAGTGCCTATAAAAAAAAACCTCACCACTTTAATAACTATTGCTAGAAACTACACCAAAAAAAAACACAATCTTTTCCTTTCATTTTTTCTCATCTAAAAAGATCAATATCATTAATTTGTTCATCACTCATTCGCCGGCGATATTTTTCCGGCGATTCAGAAAATTTTCCGGTGAGATGGACCGACGGGAGAATATTGGTACGAGTTGTAGTGGTAGTAATAGTGATAACAATAGTAATAGTAATAATAATAATAATACGAGTAATGTTATTATTAGTAAGAAGAATAAGAAAAATAAAAAATGGATGAGGTTGGAAATGCAATGGACCAACGAAAAACATTCGGATTTTTTGAGATTAATGGAAGCAAGTTTTGTACGGAATTTGATGGAGAAAAGCAGCAATGAAGATACTACCAAGATTAATTCAAGGCTTGACCGTTTTGTCCCTGATATTTCTGAGTCTACCCTTGATTTACATCATAGATCAGGTAATTTTTTTTATATTTTATTATTTTAATTTTCAAACTACGAGTAGATATTTTTCGAACTAGATAGATATTTTTAGCATGCAATATGGTGTTTGGTTCATCAAGGGAGAGGGAAAGGGAATGATAGAGAATGAGAAAATATTCCATATGATATAAATTGTTGTTTGGTAATTGTAATTCTAAATCTCTTCTTTTTTTAACCCTTGTTAGTTGTTACACCACATTCATACTTACTCTCATCGTGTTGTCGTCACCACACCGTCCTTTCTCCCTTTTTTGTCTCTACTTATTGTGTCACGTGATATTTGAGGAATTAAAGGATAAATTCGACTAAGAAAACTTAAGATCTCGAGTTTTTGTGTTTGAATTTAATCATCCACAACCATCATTGATTAGCATAAAAATAAAACCATAAATTGATGATATAAAGTATATTTTCAATTTTGTTGTTGAATTTTTATTTATTTATTTATTTTCCTAAAATTTTTAGGGTTGGTTTTTGGATGGGTTTGGGTGGTGGGTTTTGAAGATGTTAGGGTTTTTTTTTGGTGGGGGAAGCTAAGGGGGGATTAATGGAGTGGATTTCAAGTGCTAGTGAAAGTGACACTGGTGGGGCAGTGCCGGTGGTTGTGTGGCGGTGTTGGTGGCCAGTGGTGGGGGTGGGGTGGCGGTGAATTAAACGAAATATTTAACCTTGTTCATGCCAAATACCCCTCATCAATGGTCATGACTCATGAATCACATGAAACGAAATATATTAATTAAATTGAGTTAATTTGAGAATTTATGACAAAATTATAATTGATGTCATTAATGCTTAATTTAGAGCCATATATACATGAATTTTTTTATTTTTTTTTGGGTTTTAATATGCATGTAAATTTAGGGCAAAAAATAATACGAAGTTATTATATATACTCACGTAAATGGTAGAATTAAGCAATTTGAGAAGATACGTGGTTGATTCATTGACATATTAAATTAAAGTTGCACTTCATGACAAATTAGAATTTTAGTGATTAATTTTAATCATCTAAATATCTAATGAGCAGTAGAGCTTTTACTACTAATAATAATGTACTCCGTACAAATTAAAGATTATACTCAAGAGTCAAGACTGGGTTTGGTTCAAGTAAAAGATCTACCATAACAAGTTTATGACCACATGTCGCATGACTCACAAAGACATAACTTATCCACCCTTTAGTAATAATAATAAAATCTGTTTTGTTAAGCTTATGTCAAAAAACAAAAAAAAAAAATGACAACATCTCATTATTTTACTATTATATATTTTTTTAAAAAAATCTAGCTAGTTTTCTAGAGATGTCTTTATCAATAATTCAAATTTTTATTGTTTTACTTCCCACAAAGAAATTTGAATTACTACCTAATTTTTTGGCAAGCTCTCATCTTTAACAATGTGAAAAAAAAAAAAAAAAAAAGTAACGTTTTTTAATGTATTAAGGATTATAAATATTGATTTGATCTTTTAATAAATGATCGATGTAACATCCCTAAAAAATTATATGATACACAGTACATCATTGAATGTTAATTGTCGAATATTTATAAGGTGGTTATGTAAATACAACTTCTTTAAGAAGAATAGGGTTAAAATTAAAAATATGGAAGAAAGGGTAGTTGTGTCCAGAAAAGTAACGAACGCAGAATATGCCTACTGATGAGTAGTTTAGATATTTTTTGCACTTTATATGATTATATATGCAGTTGTGATATTTTTAAGATCTTTTCATTTCTTACAAAATGTGCTTTTTAAAGTTAGATTTATACGAATTGAAGTATAATAACTAAATATTGTTATTGTATTAAAAATGTAGCACATTCGAGTGATCGAGTGAACAGGACTTGTAACAGGCAAAAAGAACGAGGAATTATTCGTCCTTATAAAATGACACATGACCAGGTATGTTTGTGCATTTTTTAGACAGAATTTCTTTCATTTTGTTGGGATAGGAGAAATACCGAATACTATACATGGTGATCATGGCCTCATCATCTACTCGTGGTTGTAAATCTTGTAATATAATTTAAAGTAACATATCACATAGTATAGTAATAGAATTCGAAATAATCTCATTTTCATAAACTATTTTATTTCGTTATACATACAGTAAAACTTATATATATACTCGATAGTACAGAGTAACTCCTTAGCCTCTTTAAAAAGGAGACGAAAAAAGTAAACAAAATTGTAAATATAACAATTCTTGGAAGAAACATAATACTGCATAGTAACAACTCTTGAAAAATATCAAGGATAAAATATGTTTTTCGTTGAAAGAAACTTAATATCCGTAGTGACAGCTCTTATATAATATGCCTAATTACTTTATCCACAACTTGAGCTAAAGTTCTCCACTTTGATCGTACTTGTTCTTGACCTAAGCATCTAATAAGTAGAAAATGAGTTTTGAGTTTAATTGGTTGGTTTAACAATAAAACGAATAATCAATACTCGTAATACTGATTTTTAAAATAATTGGGAGGAAATTGAAACCTAATCACCCATAAGGCCATAATCGATCTCCAAATCTAAATTAATCCAAAGGATCAACGAGTAGAACAACAACAAAAAAAAAATTTAATACTCATTAGTCGTAATATTGTACTCCCTCCGTCCCTTAGCTACAAGCACGTATTTCATTTCAGGGAAATCAAAATTACATGTCTATTTCTATTTAAAAATGTACATTTTGACAATATTCCCTCTTTTATGAGTTGTCATTATTTTTCTTTTATTTTTTTTGTACTTTTAACATTATTTTTCAACATTTTTTTTTCCCATCTCTTCAGTAATTACCAACTACTTGTACCTTTTCTTTCTCTCTATCTCTTTCTAATCCCCATATGCATATTTGTACTTTCTAATAATGAGTTTTAAAAAAAATTTAAGTTCCTTAAATCCCGTAAAACATAAAAAATAGACTTGTAAATAAGAGACCAAGAGAGAAGTAACATTAGTAAGCAGTGGAAGAAAGGAAAAGATATTTAAGAATGGGGGCGGTTCACAACCATGATATTTTTTCATGAAGGTGGGGCCCTTTACAAGTACGTGTATTGATCTTCATAAAATATCCAATCTTCATCTTCCTTTAGTGACAGCCTGGCAGCTTAGTAGTTGACAATTCATTTTCACTTTTTTTTAATAAAGATTTTTTTATTTTCTCTTTTCTGTTTACATGAATACGTGTGTCTCATTTCTCCTTATGTATTTTTCTCCGTATCTTTGCTACCGACCAAATTTCCTTTTTTGGAATGATTTTTCTCTCTAATTTTTTTTCTTTCCAAATTTGGATATTTCGGGTCTAACCCAAGGGCAAATACAATTAGTTGTAATTTTGGAAAAAAAAAGGGTATGAAAACTATGTTGAATAATTAAAACAACGTAGTCTAAAACTAATTCAAACAAGAGATACAAGTTTAATACGTGGCCTATTTCTTACGCATAAAAATGTATTACTGTCATATCACAATCTAATACACTCGCTACTTGATTACACTTAATTTATAAAAGCGATACAAAAGACATGATTGTTAATAAAAAAAATTTAAATGTATATCCAAGTAATTAATTGATGATTTATGGAAGCAAAGTAGCTAACATGGATGGTGTCCCACAGGTGGTCCCACGAGTAGAGGACAAAGCAGGTGATAAGAACACTACAAACTGATGTGAATTACAGCCTACCGGAATACTGCACCTTCAATGAAAACTCCAAGCATTATTATAATTGACCAACTTTCTCAAGAAGAAGAAGATGCGCAACTAATTACTTAGCTTTTACTACTATTTGGATCTTTCTCTAGATTTTTTTTGGGTGGTTGTGTTGTTTTTATCTCCTCATTTGACCCCAATTTTTTTTTAATCTTTGGTCTTTTCTAAGTTGTTTATTCACTTTAATATTCAACATTAGGATTGGGTTGTTTTTATCACTTTCATGATCCTTTACAAAGTTTTAGGTGTGTTTTCTTTTGACTAGTTGAGTACTAATATAAAGTGATACGACCAAAGAGTTAGAGTAGAGCTACTTTCGAATTCATTCAAATTGAGGGGAAAATTAACCTAATAGAGTAGAGCTACTTTATGCCTCTATGTGCACTTGAGTATATAATGACGGAATATAATATGTAGTAGCTAGATGGATTTCTTGTACCTTGATTATTTTACTATATACATTGGTATTATGGTTCGTTGCTAATTTTAAAAAATTATACATGTACAAAAGCATTACAAAGATGATTTTTCGATTTCATGGGATGTATAACTGTACTAGGACTTTAGGAGCAAGTATTAGATTGATTGAGGGTATTGGGGTATGTAAAATTTAAGTACATCTTGGTTTTTTTTATTTTTTTTATTTTTGGTCACTCGAGGGTTATTTAATAAAATTATGTGATAATGTGGTAGTAATTGTGAAACTTTCTTAAAATAGAAAAGTATTACTGTTAAAGAACCAACTCAACCAAAAGATTAAGTTGATGATTAAGGTCCAGGAATATGTTTTATACTCTATCACGTTTCCTCACACGAGAGCTCGTTAGGCTTGAAGTGTGGATGCAGCATGGGCCCTCTATATACCCTGTGCGAAATATTCCACTTGAAAGTGGGGGATGGATAAGATTTGAACCCAGGACGTTTGTGTCACACTGGCTCTAATACCATGTTAAAAGACTAATTCAACCAAAAGATTAAGCTAATACTTGAGGTTCAGGAATATGTTTTATACTCTATCAATTACGATAATAAAAGTACTTCAAAGAAAGTAGGTAAGAAATTAAACAACTTATTTGTTGTCTCTAAATGGGTTACGGGTTTTATTTATTTGTCAATGAGTTAGAATAATTTATACATTTATACAATTCCAGCCCCTTTATCTTCCCTTATCCCTTTATCTCCATCCAATAATTGGCGTCTTTGTTAGTGTTCAATGTTTGAGTTTGACACCTTTGTGGCTTTGCACGACATTGCCAACTATCAAATCCATAACATCAACTCTAAAGATTGGATTGATGGGTTTCGAAATTACTAAAAATATCTGCACTTTGATAAGAAAACGTCAAATAACCAGAAGTCCAGAACTTTATATATGCATCCCTAAACCTAACCATAATGGCTGAATTCAGAGTACTTAATAACAACAATTGGCTCGGTATTTAATCTTTTTTAACGGAGGTAAGCTAATATTTTGTCATATATTTTTAAATTCATACTTCATACTTCATCATTTTAGAAAATATGTAAAAAGTGCCTAATATTACTTAGGCGAGACTAGGATTAAGGCAAGAAATTTGTAAATAGCATTTATACTTTTATAGGCTATTTGGAATTACACTCGATTTACTAGCCCAATCCATATGTTAATACGAATTTGAGCATCTTTTTCAACAAAGTTCGATCCACTATCACCTGTAAAATCTAAACAAACTCTTTTCAAATTTCAAGAACAAGTAAGAGTACATAACATTCTATCACAAACTTTTCATACTAGGTAAAAAATGAAAACAAATTTCATTCTAAATTAGTGTGCCTTGCCCTAACAGCTTCAGGGGTCTGTCCTAACTCAAAACCAAGCCTAAACACAACCATTTCAAACAACACAAACAAAGCTCCTTCATAAAGACTTCCCATAGGAAGCAACGGCCTAGATTCCTCCACGTGTGCACCTTGATGATCATCAGCCATTGTTTGAGCAGGCACATGAGCCACAACAGTGGCATACTTCACAGAAGATCCACTCTCAGGCTGAGCTGTAAGAAGCAACACTTGAGCACCGTTGGATTTAGCTACCCCACAGATTGCATCAACGGTGGAGAATCCTCCAGGCCCACCAGAGGCAATAAGGAGGTCAGTGGGCCCAATAGGGGGAGTAGTCATGTCAAACACACAGTGGGCTGAGAGGCCCAAATGGGCTAACCGCATGCATAGGGCCTTAAGCATTAGACCTTCACGGCCCACTCCATAGACGAAGATGCGGCCGTTTTGGGCTGAGGTGGTCTTTATTTGGTCCACTAAGAGGTCTAAGGGTGGAGGGGTGGTGGTGGGCTTTGTGAAAATTATGGCTATTTGGTTGCAAATTTGTGTGGCCATTGATGAAGGTGTGTTGCTTTTTTCAGCCATAGGAAACCTTTTTTTTTGGGAAAGAACTAGCAAATATTAATTACGTTCGACAATACTCTATTGTTTTTGTTTGAGAAAACACGAGCTACATGAAGCCTGAAATCTCATTTAGATGATAAAAATGATGTGGCTGTGGATACTCTATTTATAATACTTTGTAAAATTTAGGGTGGTTCTAAAAGTGGGCCCAAAATAGAGGGGTCAGGCCCACTTTTATATTTAGAAAGGGGAGTAAGTTGCAAAGTCTAACAATATACTCAAAATTCAATCTCATGTTTTGGGTAACACAGAGTACTTTTTAAATTTTAACCGGTTAAGTTAGTTTGATTTTAAAAGAGATTGAAACAGATTAGAAATCTGAAATCGTTACACTTTCAATATTCATCATGAATAATTTAAAAGTTATGTTTATTTCAATTAACATACTAAAGAGCACGATGTTCATGATGATTAATCTCAATTGCATATTTGCAAATAGATAAACCAATTTTGAGCTTGACATGTGACATTTGATCTCACTTACAAGTATAAGTTAAGCTCAATTTAGCTTGTGTCCATTGACAATGTGAAATTACTTCTTTCTTTCTTAGTTTACTCGTTTTCCCATACAATAAAAATTACTCCTTCCATCCGGATCACTATTTCACATAATTAAAAGATACAAAGTATGTCACAAGTATAAGTTAATAAAATAATAATACGGAGTAATAAAGTTTAAAAGATACAGAGTATGTCACAAGTATAAGTTCAAAAAATAATAATACAGAGTGATAAAGTTTAAAAGATACAGAGTATGTCACAAGTATAAGTTTAAAAAATAATAATACGGAGTAATAAAGTTATGACCCAAGTATGCTATTAATAGTTAAAGAACAATCATCATAATGAATGAATAATCAAATGCCATGATGTTTGATTCTGAGACAATTTTAATTATTCTCCTTTTATTGAGGGGCGGAGGGAGGGTTAGACTAACTGATTACAGACAAGTATTGATCAACCAATCGCCTCGCAAGCCGCAAGGGACTATTCCTTGATTTTTTTGTTTGTATCAAATGATAGAATTACACTATACAGATTTGACGCAATTACTGAAGGAATACTCCGATGGAACTGCATCTTTTCTCTCTATATCAACAGCCCTTCCAAAAAAATCTCTGTTGGCTGGACGTAGCAAAAGAATGAGGATGAATGATTACATACAGTAGGTGATATAAAGGTGAGTCTGAACTGTTGACCTCTTGAACTTGAGTTATGTGCTTATCACCATCAGACGATCAACTGATCAAATTGGAAATTAAGTATGGCGTGTGAACTAAGATCCAGTAAGGTTGTGTGAACTAAGATGATCATGTTAGAATCTGATCTTCTTAAGATCCAGTAAGGTTGCATTTCTGGAATTGAATCAGTTGTCCTCTTAAACTGCACTCTTCTATCTGAAAGTTATGTGAATAACAGGAGCATATCGTCAGGTTTTAGTTGTAGCACCATCTATCTTAGTTAATCCAAAAACCAACAAAGAGAAATAGGACTGACAATGCCCTAAAAATGATAGGCCACATTTGTAAAGAAGGTTATATTTTCACAGGAATTGAGTAAACAAACCACAGATATATAAGGACAAAGGGAGTATTTGGTAATTGAATAGCAGTGATGTAAAATTACCTGCGATAAATGCGTCCTAGACAATAAATCACCACACTCTTGAACAAGCGTGACTTCTCCACTATGTACTCTAGCCAAGTCGGATATGAGAACATCCACTTGCTCTGCCTGCAAATGTATATCACAAAGTCTCAGTCAAGCATTTAAGATTAATCTGCACATCCAGTATACTAAGTACTTGCATTTTAAGCGTATAAAAAACTTTCAATTTCATTTGCATTATATCACATAATAAAAGTGTTAGCAAGACTTCACCTTGGGCACGAAGCCTTGCACTTGCAAACAGATGCTTTCAGCCACCTTCAATGCTGAATTCATTGCTTCATTTATCTCTTTGATGTTAACCTGGAAAAAGACCCATATACATCATCAAAGAGAGACATGGGGAATTCAAGAGAGGTTAAAGCACAGGAGTAGACGTATATCTTACCTTTACATTACCATTGAGTGGAAGTCGAGATGATATATTCTGTAAACCTTGAGTTAATTCTAGCAATGAAGATGAGTAAGCTTCTTCTAAAGCAGACCATTCGTCCAAAACGGGAACCTGATAAAGAATAGTACTGATTAAATTCCTTACCAAGCTAGAAATCCAAAAGCCTTTGAAGATAACTATTATAAAAGACCTCAAGTCAAGAGCCGATAGTAACTTGAAAGATTAACGTAAAGTGTGCTCTTTGAAGAAATGGCAGTGGAAAAGCTAGACTTCAGAAAAGATCTATTGAACCTTGAAAGACAGATATAGATAAAACCATAAAAATATATCAAAGAAAATGCTTTGTTTGAAAGGAAATACTTCTCCACCTTTGACTAGGCTATATAACAAAGAAATTTTCCTCATGACCAAACACTGGAATGGTGTAGAGGTGCCAGTATACTCTGAATGGTGGACTTTCTTTTGTATTTTCGTTTTTTCTTAGTAAAGTTAGATATGATGCATTCAAAGATTCTCATGTTGCCAGTCTCGCAAACTGAGTGAATAGATTAGATACACAGTAGCAAAATCAATACTTAGAAGCCTCACCTGAGTGTCAAGAATTGTTGATAGAAGTTTTGCTTCTTTCAAAAGTCCAACTTCAACACGCTTGCTTTTTACAGAATCCTGCAACTCTGATATCTTTACTCCCATTGAATATAGCAGTTTCTGCAACACATTAAAGGAATTTAAAACAATAATCCACAACACACAACGAGTAGCAAAATGTTTTTATTTCCCTTTAAGGTAGGTGGAGTGATATGTAAGATGCCTTCCTCTACTTTAAACTGCTACTCGTAGTTTTCGACAATGCATATGAAGACGATCTAGATTTACATAACCCACAAGAGACCAAATAGTTGATGTAGAACCAATTGTATGATGCTGATCCTTTAAGATAAAAAGCTATGGCTTCTAGCCCATTTTTGCTGCTGTTACCATTACACAATTCCTAATTTCATTTGTCCCTACCATCTCACAAGACATAATTCTTAGTAAGATAATTTATTAATCATTGATTCCTAAGTCCACAATATGTGAACTAATCCATCTATGTTCATAATTCAATTAAGCTTCTCTAATTCAGGTCAATAGCAAGTCATAGATTGTAAAGTATCCACATCATGTTTCTTTCACAATGCTACAAAAATCATAATTTGCAAAATCTATGGAGCTTATCACTCTAAATAACTCCAAATAGTTGAATTCTAGCACATTTTAGCAGGGTAAATCACACAACTGAATAGCTACTACATAACATAAATCAAGAACTCAATTTCAATGTAACATAATAAAATCAAATACCATCATGGAGTTTGGACTCACCTCACTTTGCTTTTTCTGAGAATTCAAGCATGCCTCAGCCTTAGCATTAGCAAACCTGTATTGAAGATGAAGATTATGCAACAACTTAAGCCTTTGAGCATCATCTAGCTGGTTGCCACCCTTCCTCACCACCGCCTTTTTCACCTCCACCGTCCCCCCTTGAGGCCTCGAAAACCCGAGTCCAGGAGGCATCGGAGGAAGATTAAGACTACGCGCCACCTTATTCACTGACCTATGAAATAACTTATCATCATTACCAACACCCTTAATAGAATTCAACCCCCCATTTTGTTGTTGTTGTTGATCATTACTCGGATACGAAAACTCCATTGATCTAGAACACGGCGTAGAATTCCTTTGACAATTGTTATTATCACCATTACTAGTACAATTATTATTATCATTCGGCTCCGATTTCACTGACTCACAATCCCCATTAACAGAACAACCACCATCATCATCATCTTTTTCACCATTGGAGCATATTCCATTAGCCTGCAACAACTTCGAGGCAGCGGAATCCCAACTCCGTTGTCTCACCAATCTGGGCCCCACCTGCATTGGCACTGGTGTATCAGTTCTAGATCCTTCCTTAAAAAGCTTAACAGCAGCCCTAGGTTTCGACGAAGATCGAACCGGGCTAACGGATTTCCGGTTCAACGAATCGGGTCGGTTTTCGTCGGCGTATCTCGACTGCGACGGCCTGAAATCAGTGTTAGATCGTCGGAGAGCGTTGTTTTTAGAAATCTGGGATTCCGACGGTGTTGATGGGATTTGCTTCTGGATGTTCGTCGGAGGTTTTGCTGCAGGTGACATGAATCTGGAGCTAACTTCACGAACCCTAGGTCGAGAACGACGAGGGTGTTGGGGATTTGTCGGCATTGGAGTTGAAATTTCAGATGATATATGGGGTTTAGGGTTTTCCGACGCCATTGTTGGTGGGCTCATTGTTGTTGTAATTGGCGAATTTTGGGGTGAATTTGGGGAAATTGAATCGATTAGGAGAAACCCTAGAAATCAAAATTTTGGATTGATTTGGGATTTCAGGATTAGGGAGAGTTTTGAGAGGCAGTGAAACAGGAAGCCAAGGAGAGAGAAAATGTGACGTTGAAAGAAGAAAGAGATGAAGTTGAGAAACTAGCCGTTATCCAGATGTAACGGTCTTCTAAAAAATAGGGGAAAAGGGTGAAATTGTTAATTTTGTTTTATTGGGGATTTGGGGGAGCCAAACATGTATGTAGGGATGGCAGGTAGGTATTAAAATGTGGGTCCCGCATCGCAACTGTCTCAGTTGGAGTGGTTATGGGTCCAACTTTGACTTGTAAGTAGGCGGGTATGGATACAAAAGTCATACCCATCATGGGTACAACGGGTGGGTGGTGGATTTGACGCCATACTCGCCTATTACCCATTTACCCGCCCAGTTACCCGCCTACCCGCCTAGTTATACGCCAATTTATTACTACTTGTATTTTTTATCACAAATTAATTGCTACCTTGTATAGTATGCTATTAAATTATGTATTTACAACAATTTAGATATGGCAAAATGACATATTTATAGAAAATTTATAAAACAAATATTGTAGATTGGCAGTAAAAAGCGAATAAAAGCGGGTGGTGGATCTAGGTTTCTACCCGCTTAGGCGGGTATGGGTGTTAAAATTTTACCCACCGCGAATAGCGGGTAGATAGTGGGTATAAAAAATTTTGGCGGGTGCGGGTATAGGAGAGGAGGTACCCGCACCACCCAATTGCCATCCCTACATGTATAATATTCCTAATTATTTGGATCATTATGAACAACTTCATCAATGACATCAAGTCAAATGAGCTAGTGAGACTATTAATCCTGCCTCTCACTCACCCTCTAATCTTTAGTGATCTAGAAATTAGGATGGTTTCTTATCGAATTGATACTAATTTACATAAATTTAAACTAGATGAAATCTGTGCGATGTACGGTTTGTTTGTACTTTTTAAAACAAATATTATTTGTATTTATGTGATAAAATTTGTTATTTCATTAGTTCTACATAGTATATCACTAAATGAAACCCATGAGATGCACGGTTTATTTTTATTTTTAAAACAAATATTTTTTGTATTTATATGATAAAATTTGTTATTTTATTTGTTGTATGCGTAGTATATCATTTAATATTTTTATTTAAAAATAAATTGTGAATTTAAACTTTAAAATCTCATTCGCCAATTTTGCTTATGTGGCATTTAAATTATTTAACACCAAAAGAATTTACAAATCTCTTATTTGATTGGCTATAACAAAAGTTTATCCTACATGGCGCGTTAAAAAAAATTTATCGTACGTGGCTCTCTAAAAACTTGGGAAAAAACTCCCCTTTATATTATATATATAATTTACTAGTTTTGTGCCCGGGCAATGCCCAGATGGTTAATAAAATTTTAAGATAACATTTTTACTTGAATGTTAAATACCAAATTATTTGTTATGATAATGTAGGATATTTAGACATACGATATCATATGGAGTGTAATTTATGTTATGATAACATAAATAATAGATATCTATGTTATTATTGACTTGAAAATATTCTTATAGAACTTAAAATATTTTCACTGAACTAAAACTATTTTACCAAACTAAAATTATTTTTTATTAAAACTTATTTTACTGATTCTCTAACATATTTTTTTTTTAATATATTAAATAACAATGTATTTTGTATGCAGCTAACCATACCATTTGGCATGACAAAGTAACCCCTATAAAACCGATCGAGTAACCCCTGTAATACTAAATGAGTAACCTCTAACACTAACTAAGTAACCCCTATCTATAACACTGATTGAGTAAACACTATTACACTGACCAACTAACCCCTACAGCATTAACGAAGTAACTCTGATCATGTAATAGTGGTGACACGGTTTGACCAGCTACGTATAAAAGTCTGTGATTAAACATATTATACTTGGATCTTATTTTAAAGAACTTTTTAATACGAATTTGATGGTGGAATTAAAATTGAGTTATAGGATACTTATTAAAAGTGATGATTAATTTTGTATATTATGAAATATGAGAATTTTATCGATAATAAAACTCTATGCATCAATTTTATGTTAAAAAATCTATCCAAAAATCACTTACTTAGCATCATATGTGTCACAATAATATATATTTGTCGCCTACGTGACTCGACACTTGGCGAAGATAATTTATATATATATTAGATTTTGGTAAATATACAACAATAATTAAATATATTTGTTGTGGTTATCCAAATACAAGTATATTCCTTTATTCACTTATATCTATTTCTTGTTCTTCCAAAATCAATTTTCTCACATCATTTTTATTTTATCCAATTCATCTTTAGGTCTCTCTCATTCTTGTTTTAAAATCTTCTTTATCTTTACCCATCACATTTTGTCGACATCTCACAACTCCAAATCAATATTGGTAAATATCAATTACAAAATAGGTAAAAAAAAATACATTGGCGTAATAATTCAGCTAATGAATAGTCAAACTCACAAAGTTTTGCTTTTAAAATGTATTTATATTGGTTAATGTTTCCCTTAAACACAAGTGGTTCTTACAATCCTACATAAAAAAATCACCATTATTCTCAATCTCGTGACAAACTTATTTATGTGTTCCGTTCAATAAAAATAAATTGAACCATTTAACAAGTGCGTAATCTATCCAAACTAAATTGCTTATCAAGTCAAACATAAATCAAGTGACTAATCTATCCAATTTAAATTGTTTGTCATATCACACTTAATCAACACAAAATATTCTAAAGAGCTTATTATATCATAGTTTACTATTTTGAACTCTCTAATATCACATCCAATAAATTTGGGTTGGCTTTACTAATAATAGAACATTTTGATTGAAGTACAAGAAATTATCAAGGAACTAATTATTTAGACATTGATTGTAAGTATAGATTTAGTCATTGGAACTAGATTTTGGGCCTGAGTAATATGCAAAAAAATATTTATATTGGATTAAATCTCATATTTATTTATTGTTAATTAATCCGTAAATGTTTTTTTTGGTAAATGAGAGAGTATAATGAGTAAATGGTTAAGTATTCAACGATAAACCCAACAAAAGGAAGAGCTAACATTTCCATCAGATCACAATACTAATCAAGACTTAACCCACTTGAAAGAGATACTAGGTTAGGGAATCCCTTGCCTCAATATGCTCAATTCCTCCCTTACTCTCAAGTACTCTGCACAAGGAAAAGCAAGCCACTTTCATTAAATCACGATAGTAGCAAGATTTAACTCACTTGAGAGGGGTAGGGAATCTCTTACCCTCGCCTCAACTGGTTTAATACCTCATCTTACTCTCAAGTGCTCCATACCTAACTCATAGTCACTGTAGATACTTGACTAAATATATCATGAGGATTGAAGTCTGGTCAGGGTTCTTCTTACCATTAAATAATAAAAATAATATATATATATATATATATATATATATATATATATATATATATATATATATATATATATAATATACTCCTTTCATTTTGTAATAATTAGAACCCTATCCTTTTACATATGTTTCGTAATAATTATTATGAAACGGATGTAAAAGAAAAGTAATGCAATTATTACAAAACGGGGGGGGGGGGGGGAGTATGAAACAGATGAAGTACAAAGTACTCCCTCAATAGTTTTTTTTTTTTTTAATCCGTATAAGCTAGAGTTGGATTTGCACATTTGTCGAGGCACAACTTTGACCATCAATATATTTAATTAGTAGTTAGTAAAAAATTATGAAAAAATTAATTTATAAAAGTAGACATTATTACAATTCCAACAACATACTTTCTTGTTTTTCTTTTATTGCACTATAAGGACTTTTACACTATTCACTTAATTTTCTTTGACCATCTTTTGTGATTTATCCATTTTAGAAAAAACATAGTCATGTGCGATCTAGTTAGATTCGTCTTGAAATCTACTTTTCAAATATCAATTTTTTATAATTTTTACAAAAGTATAATTAAAGATATTAATAGCCAAAGTAATGCATTGACAAGTGTGAAATCTCTCATGGTGGAATAAAAAAAACATGGTGCAATAAAAAAAGAACAGAGGAAGTATTATATGATCATATTATATATTATATATTGGTTTTCACCAAAAAAATATATTATATATTGGTAAAAAAATTAAGTTAATGATGACATATGATGATAAGAATAGTGAAAAAATCCCAACTCTAGCTTATAAAAAAAAAAAAAAATGAAGGGAGTACTTTAAGTCGGTTCATCTCTAAATTCCAAAAAAAAAAAAACATAAAAAAAAATAAAATTCCTAATATTACATACGTCAAAGTCGGTGTTTGAATTCCCTCACCACCTTAAACCAAACATACTCCAAAGTCAAATAGTCTCTCCCGCAAAAACAACAGCATCATATCATCATCTTAGAAAGGTAGAAAGTACGGAAATCCGAGATTTGGAGCAGCAACAATGGCGTTGAAGTTTCTGAACAAGAAAGGATGGCATACTGGAAGCCTTCGAAACATTGAAAACGTTTGGAAAGCCGAGCAAAAACACGAGCAAGAACAACGCAAATTAGAGGAGCTTCGCAAGCAGATTCTCGAGGAGAGAGAACGCGATGAATTTCGTGTTCTTCAAGAGCAAGCTGGCCTTACCCCGTAATTAATTTATCATTATCTCTTTTAATCATTCAATTTTATTCCCCTTTTTATAGATTTGATTTTGTGCCTGATTTAGGGTTAGGGTTCGTAATTTGCTAATCTATGATTTTTGTTTTTGATGTTTTAGGAGGCAGGAAAGATTGGAATTTCTGTATGATTCTGGATTAGCTGTTGGAAAACCCACTTCTGATGGATTTCAGGGACTTGGATCTTTGCCTGGTGTTGATAATTCGGCTTCAGCAGCAGCAGCACCGGCACCGGCACAATCAGTGGAAGCGGTGAGTTCTTAACTTCTTATAATCTGATTGTGGTTTGATTGATTTTATATGTCATGAAATTTGTTTTTTTGGTCATTGTCTTGTATACTATGTACAATTGAATTAGACCAAACGTATGTTAAAGAAGGATTTTTGCTGATTGATAAGTGCTAGTACATAAGCTACCTAATAGTAGTAACATGCCTATTCACTACATAGGCTACCTAGCTAAATATATATGTAGGAGTGTTTAGTGTTACTCAAATTCGGATTTGAGAATTATGTGTTAAGAAAATAATGCAAATTTTCTATTTAATCAAATTTGAGGGAGAAATAAATTACATAAACAAAATGTCTATTTATACCAAAGTGCAAAAAACACAACCCCTCTTTTCTCTGAGTTATTTTTGTTCTCTCAGATTTTCTCTTGAAATTATTACATACAAATGAAGGAAATGCTCAATTTATAGTTTTCCTAAAACAATCTAAGTCATTTAAAATTTAGCCTGCAATATTTATTACCATTAGTTATTTTTCCCTATATTTGGAAACACCTTTAATTTTCAATGGTAATGCATGGTTATTTAATAACCATTTATTTTTTTTCTTTATGTTTCTTAATTATCTGCCAACAATCTCCCACTTGAAGACTGATTTCAATCGGTCTTCACACCAAGGAGTAGAACCTCAACTAGTCTTCTGTCATTTTAAGACCAATTGATGTTGAGCACAATTTCAACTTGTCAATCGTCACTGTTTTCGTTAACATGTCTGCTGGATTCTTACTGCCAAAAATCTTTTTAAGAGTTAACACTTCATCTTCTAGAAGAGACCTGATAAAGTGATAACGAATACCGATGTGCTTTGTTCTTGAGTGAAACGCCGAATTCTTTGCTAAATGTATAGCACTCTGACTATTGCTATACAAAATATTATTCACTTGTTTGAACCCCAGCTCATCTAACAAACCTTGAAGCCATATCATCTCTTTACTAGCTTCGGTCACTGCCACATACTCAGCTTCTGTAGTGGATAAAGCAACAATCTTTTGTAGTTGGGACATCCAACTTACGGCTGTATTTCCAAATGTAAATGCATAACCCGTTGTGCTCTTTCTATTATCGACTTCACCGCCAAAGTCTGCATCAACGTAACCTTGTATTTTCAATTCACCTTTACCAAAGTACAAACACTTATTAATTGTACCTCGTAAATACCTCAAAATCCATTTAACAGCTTCCCAATGGACTTTTCCTGGATTGGACATAAACCTGCTTACAACTCCCACTGCATGTCCAATATCTGGTCTTGTACAAACCATTGCATACATCAAACTTCCAATAGCCGAGGCATAAGGAACCTTGGCCATATATTCTTTATCTTTATCTGTCTGAGGGGACTGATCCTTTGATAGACGAAAATGACTCGCCAACGGTGTACTAACAGGCTTAGCATCACCCATATTAAATCTCTGAAGAACACGTTTGATGTACTCTGATTGTGATAACTGCAAAGTGCCTCTCTGCTTATCTCTTGTGATTTGCATTCCTAAAATCTTTTTTGCTGGACCCAAGTCCTTCATGTCAAATTCCTTTGACAATTGATGCTTCAACTTTATAATATCATTCATATCAGAACCTGCTATTAACATATCATCAACATAAAGTAATAGGATGATATAACTGGATTGATATCTCTTGAAGTAGCAACAGTGGTCAGCGTTGCACTTCTGGAAATCTTCCTTGTGCATGAAGTTATCAAACTTTTTGTACCATTGTCTTGGGGCTTGTTTTAGCCCGTATAAACTTTTCTTAAGTTTGCATACCATCTGCTCTTTCCCACTTTTTATAAAACCTTCTTGCTAGTGCATGTATATTTCTTCATCAAGATCTCCATGAAGAAATGCAGTCTTCACATCTAACTGCTCGAGATAAAGATCTTCAATTGCAATAATACTCAACACTGTTCTAATGGTATTGAGTTTCATAACAGGAGCGAATATCTCATTATAATCAACTCCCTCTTTCTGTTGAAAACCTTTGACAACTAGTCGAGCCTTATACCTCTTGGAATCATCGTGCTCCTTTTTTGCTCGATATATCCATTTGTTATGAAGGGCATTCTTACCTATGGGTAACTCAGTTAGTTCCCATGTCTGGTTTGAAATCAGGGATTGCATTTCATCTTTCATTGCAAGCCCCCACTTGCTAGCATCTCTGGTCTGGGATGCTTCATAATAATCTTCTGGTTCCCCACCATCAGTTAATAACAAATAATTCATATATTTTCTATTAGGCACATGTGGTCGAGTACTCCTTCTTAGTGTAGGAGTTGGACAAGAAGGTTGTTGTATGTCATTTGATTGCGATGTACTGCCCTGTACAGTCTGTTCTTCTTGTTGCGGAGTACTTATGATAGTGTACTCTTGCATCGTACTGTCTGGGACATAATCTTCATCAATGAATGTAGATTCTTTTTGATTTGTTTCATAACTCTCAATTTTATGCCTATCTTTGTATATGACTCTCTCATTGAAAATTACATCTCTTGAACGAATAATCTTTTTGCTTTCATCATCCCAAATACGGTATCCGAACTCATCTTCGCCATAACCGATAAAAGTGCAAACTTTTGATTTAGGATCAAGCTTATTTCTGCCTTGATCACTAATGTGCACATAAGCTACACAACCAAATACCTTTAAGTGCAATAATTTGATCTCTTTGCCGCTCCATACCTCCTCTGGTAATTTGTACTCCAATGGGGTTGATGGTCCTCGATTGATCAAGTAAGCTGCTGTATTGACTGCTTCTGCCCAGAATTGTTTTGGTAGACCTGACTGTATACGAATGCTTCTGGCTCTTTCTGTCAATGTTCGGTTCATCCGCTCAGCTATGATTATGCTGAGGCACAGTTCTTTCCATCTTAATACCATGCTCGTAGCAAAACTTCTTGAATTTGGTGTCCTCATATTCTCCGCCATTGTCGGACCTGAGTCTTTTGATCTTCAGACCTGTTTCATTTTCAACCCTAGCTTTCCATATCCTGAAAACTTCAAACACTTCGGACTTGTATTTTAGAAAGTAAACCCATACTTTCCTAGAGTGATCATCAATAAAAGTCACAAAGTACTGTTATTCACCTATAAACTGGGTGGTTGTTGGTCCCCACACATCAGAATGAACAAGCTCCAATTTTTCTTTCATTGGAGTTCTTCCATATGTCTGAAAGCTTACCCTCTTCTGCTTTCCAAGTATGCATTCTTTACACATGTCTAAATTCACAGATTTTAGACTAGGGAGTTTTCCAATTGAATGCATGATCTTCATTCCTTTCTCACTCATGTGACCAAGTCTTTGGTGCCATAACTTGAAATTTTCATTCTCTGTTGCAACTGCAATCGAATAACACGCTCCAGCTGTCAAATAGAGAGTACCATTCTTTTTACCATGAGCAACTATCATTGCTCCCTTTGAAATCTTCCAATTATCACCTTGAAAGATTATAGTGTAACCTTCACGAGCCAACTGCCCAACTCAGATCAAGTTCTTTCTTAGGTCGGGAACATGTTTGACATCCTTCAGCTCCCAAGCTGACCCATTTAACTTAATTTTGACATTACCTTGACCAACAATATCACAAGGTTGGTCATCACCAAGGTATACCTGTCCAAGGTTTCTATGGACATACTTCTCAAAAAAGTTTTTATTAGAAGTAGCATGGAACGATGCTCCAGAGTCTAATACCCAAGACTCTTCTTTGCTCTCCAATGAGCATATCAACGCATCATCACCTTCTCCGGTAGAAGTGACATTTGCCTCTGCCTTCACTTCTTTGCCTTTTGGTGTTCCCTTGCACTGATTTTTATAGTGCCCAATCTTTCCACAATTCCAACACTCCACAGTCTTTGAGTTTTGGAAATTATTTGGATTCCTGGATTTTGACCTCCTATCTCTGGATTGTCCTCGATAGTTTGATCTTCCGCGTTCATTCCTTCTGATTAAATTTCTTCCTCTTGACTCTGTATGCAATATTGAAGAGGATGAAGATTCACCTGATTCTCTTCGTCGAATCTCCTCACTAAGAACCAGATCACGAACGTCATCAAACTTCAACTTGTTATTTCCCGATGAGCTACTCACAGCTGTGACTGTAGCATTCCAACTATCTGGCAGGGAAGATAAAAGTATTAACGCTAATACTTCATCATCAAATTTGATTTCAACAGAACTCAATTGGGTTGTGACAGAATTGAGTTCATTAAGGTGTTGAGCTACCGATCCACCTTCCGACATCCTCAAACTAAACAACCGCCTCATCAAATGAACTTTATTGGAGGCTGATGGCTTCTCATACATATTAGAGAGAGCTTTCATGAGACCTGTCGTTGTGGTTTCCTTTGCAATGTTAAACGCCACATTGCGTGATAACGTCAATCGAATAACTCCGAGTGCTTGTCTATCTAAAAGCTTCCATTCTGCTTCTTGCATGCCATCTGGCTTTTTCTCTTCCAGAGGTTGATAGAGTTTTTTCTGGTATAAATAATCTTCAATCTGCATTTTCCAAAATCCGAATCTTTACCATCGAATTTTTCAAGTTTAACTTCTTCTTTGTCTGCAGCCATTTCTCCCACTCAAATTTGACTTTTTCTTTTAGGATCGTTTTTATTTTTATCGTAATGTGGACTAATTGTCAACCAAGCTCTTGATACCAATTGTTAAGAAAATAATGCAAATTTTCTATTTAATCAAATTTGAGGGAGAAATAAATTACATAAACAAAATGTCTATTTATACCAAAGTGCAAAAAACACAACCCCTCTTTTCTCTGAGTTATTTTTCTTCTCTCAGATTTTCTCTTGAAATTATTACATACAAATGAAGGAAATGCTCAATTTATAGTTTTCCTAAAACAACCTAAGCCCATTTAAAATTTAGCCTGCAATATTTATTACCATTAGTTATTTTTCCCTATATTTGGAAACACCTTTAATTTTCAATGGTAATGCATGGTTATTTAATAACCATTTATTTTTTTTCTTTATGTTTCTTAATTATCTGCCAACATTATGGGGTTTAGAGAAAGCCGGTGGCTGCAATTGAGCTGATTTCTTGTGATAATCTGGTCTGACTCAGGCATTTAGGTGGAGTAGAGAAAGGTTTGAGACTCATTGTGGGGAAAAGAACGTATAGCAGCCCGTATATAGGTGATACTGCCTTACAATTATTCAAATAATTCGAATAATAGTATAATACTATAATCAACATCAATCATACATGGTATTGTAACCTCATCCGTGAACCAGAAATTCATTGAATCAAACCACTATACAGGCTGCTATACGTTGCACCCTGAACATATTTTAGTACCTCATGTTCTCATGCAATCGTTGTGCATTAGTTGTGTAAAATAAAGTTGATGGATATGTGTCTGTTGAGTATGGTGGGTAGTTATGAGGGTAAGAATTGCATCAAAAGTAAAAGATGAGGGCTTTAGACTTTTGCTTGTTTCCTTGTTGATTGTTTGTATTTTTGCTGGGTTGAAAGAAGTGTGTTCAATTTCAGTCATTGACACAAAGAAATTTGAAACTATTGGATTTATCTTATTAGTATTGTCACTTTAAGCCTGCCATGATGGTGGTAAAAAATTCTAAAAATTGGGGCATTTGTGGAAGAAAGAAAAGAAGAGGAAGTTGGAGCTTTCCTGGTTGATACTTGTGTAATCACATCTATGATGATGCCATTGTTGGAGCGAAGAAACCAGCAGCTGCTTATATAAACAGCTTGATTTAATCAGGACCCCACACAATGTAGCAATTGCCTATTAGGTTTCATATGCTAATATCGTCGCAAGAACACCTTAAGGCTTGAAATTTTGGATTATTAAGTTTCTTGGGTAAAATTGTCATCTTAGAGTCTTAGGGAGCTGAATATCACCTGTAAGAGGCAGGAATGCTCTCCTAAAGGGGTTCTTCAAAGATAGCACAAGCCTGTAGTAATGTTCCTTTTTTTTTTTTTTTTTTTTCAATGTCAGTCCCTTTTCTTGAAAATGTGTACTGTGCTATCATGCATTTATTGTAGAAAGCTCCTCACAAGCATTTATGGCACCATTTTATGATTATGAGGTATCTTTGGAATTTGGTAATGATATTGCATTAACAATTCTGTTTTCCGTCTGTTGGGAAGTATCCAAACAGGTCATAAGTCTCATAATAGGGATTCTTAGACGAGAAACAGTCTCAATTTAGGTTGTTTCATCGGTTGTAAAGTGAATTTATTCCACCAAGTGGATCTCTTGACTTCTTTTCTTGATGTGAAATTTATTATCATATAGTGCTTTATGTAGGCAAATTTATGGTTAATGTTATGCTGGAAGTATATTGTAGCTGTTCAAAAATCAGATGCTTTGACTCTTTGCAATTGTTGAATCAACTGTGGATCCTAAATATTGTTGTGGATACTAACCCTATTATCAATGTGTTATTGCTGCCTAAAAGTAAATTATTCATGTAAACCTCCCTTCCTCCCTTTTTGTATTTCTGGTGAGGTCTTCTGTAGTTTATGATTGTAGCTTATTAATTTGATTTTCGAAATTGCAGCAACCAACTGTCCCTGGAGCTTTGTTTGAAGAAAAACCACAATCTGCCAATGATGCCTGGAGGAAACTCCATACTGATCCACTGCTGATGATTCGGCAAAGGGAGCAAGAAGCTCTGGCTCGAATAAAAAACAATCCAGTAAAGATGGCTATGATTCGTAAATCAGTAAGTTTCCTCTCTGGATCAGCAATCTTTATTTATTTTTCCTACAGAATTACAGTCATGTAACTTTTGAGCCACTTTGGTTGTTAGCCTGCTGCCTCCCTGCAGACTTGTGGTCAAGTTTTGCTTACTATGTATGATTGAGTTTGTTTGCATGTCCATAGTTTGTTGGTCAGACAGCATTAGTGCATTGAGGCTCAATGAAGTTCATTGTCCTGAGCTTTGTAAAGTTGTTTAGCAGCCATATGCTCCCAGCGTCCCAGATAGGATGTTATTGTTTTGACTTGAATAATGAAGTTTATTTATCACTTAAATGCTTTGTAGAATTTCTCTATTGTGTCAGCAAAATTACTCTTTTTTTTTTTTTTTTTTTTTTGCATCAATCAAGTATAATATGTGATCAAATGTCCTCTTTCACATTTCTTTAGGCTGCTGTTCTCTGACCTAGTGGATTTGTTGATTCCTTCTTTGCCCTGTGATGGCTGTGATGTATTAGCTCAATTGCTTGATTTTAAATGAAGTTGCTTCTGTGTATATAAGTGACTTTCTAACACTTCAGCCTCTTGTTTCAGGTCGAAACAAAGAAGAAACATGGTGAATCACATGATGAAGAGCGCCAAAAGGTAAAATCAAAACATAAAAAACACTCCTCATCCAAGTATCACTCCGAATCTGAAAGTGATAGTCATGAAGAGAGAGAAAGGAAAAGGAAGGTGAAGCACAAAAAGAAAGAGCGTCACTCTGACACGGAAAGTGATAGCAATGAAGAAAGAGAAAGGAAAAGGAAGAACAAGAAAAAAGAACATTTACATTCTGATGAGGACTCTAAAGACAGAACTAGACATCATAGTCGTTCCCACAGAGACTATGAAAGTGAGAAACAGCAGCGCAGAAGCCCTAGTCGTTCCCACAGAGACTATGAAAGTGAGAAACAGCAGCGCAGAAGCCCTGGAAAGCAAAGATCAGAGAGAAATAGAGATAACGAGTTTCAGAGAGGAAACGAGAGATCAAAGCATTCAGAATCCCACTCAGACCATCATAAAGACAAATATGTTCACAACGCAATAGATTATGGTAGATCACACCAAGAAAGTGAATCTAAGCATATTGCTCTGCCACCTAGGCAGGATTCATACAGGCGGCGAGGCAAGGCTCCTCAACTCTCTGAAGAAGAGAGGGCTGCTAGGTTGAGAGAAATGCAAATGGATGCTGAGACACATGAAGAGCAACGATGGAAACGACTGAAGAAGGCTGCTGACGATGATGCACGTGAAGCTAACCAAGCAGGCAGTTCCCAGGGCAAGTCGTTCCTAACTTCCGTTCAGAAGAGTGTGTACGGTGCTGAGAAAGGGGGGAGCTCAACAATTGAGGAAAGTGTCCGTCGTCGTTCCCATTTTCGTCAGGGAAGAGCGTCAGATGAGAGCAATGCATTCCGAAGGTGATGAAATGCTGTACTTCAAAGATTTTCTTCCCTAGGGCAAATTCATCTAAGGAAGCTTAAAGTGAAGTAGATGAAGTTGGTTGCCTGTTGCATTTCACTACTACTGGTATTGTCATTTGTTTTGTACTTGCCGTCAATTGAGATTTGTTAGGACCCTGTAAAGTAAGTTGAAAACAAGGAGCTAGAACATTTAAGTACTTGTTTTATTTCAATAGGTGCTTGGCTCTGCGAGACAGATTTGTAATTCTTCTTGACTATATGTTGACTTCCGCCCATCCTGCATAGGAATTTTATCAATCATGAATGAGGGTACCTTCTATTTTGGTTGGTATATCATGAGAAAAGAAAGTTATTGCGCATTCTCTTTCCAAGACATCTCTGCCTTTCAGTAAGTGTGGCCTGCTGAAGACTTACTTTGTATAAATGGTTTGGTTCGATCTGCAGAGGGGATACATTTGCCTAAAGTTGCCCCACTCTCTAATAGACTGATCCTGCGGATCATACCACTTAGGAAACCTGTAAATTTAGACTTTTATAGTTCTACTCCAATATATCCTTGTGTAAGTTGATATAAACAGAGATGTGTTTAACACTATTCTGTCACCTTCACCTAAATTGTGAATTATGGACGTACGTAGTAATGCACCAAAAGACCTACAATTAGGAGAAAATTTCCAGCTTTGGAGAGTTTCCTGCTTGTATTTTGAGGGGTAAAAGGCCAAAAGAGAACAGGCATCTAAAAGGGGTTATAGATAAAAAAAAGTTACAGCTACTAAGTATCTAATTTTTTTGTAAAAATATATCTAAAATTATACTTAATTCATTACATTAATACCAAAAACAATTAGAACCAAATGATAATTAGGACATTGGACTGTCATAATTTGTGTATCAGACTATCAGTACATAGAAGAAAAAGGAAACATCCCTTCTTAGCAACATATATCCGACAAATGATGTATTACAAGTGGTCTATATACAGCACCATTGCATTAACAGCAGTATACTATTTAACCAAGGCACAAAACTGCATTAACTTGACTAATTCTTGCAGCTCCTAAACACCATTTGCACCAGGCTTGCCTTCGTGTATGACAATGGCTTTCACTGCAGGACTCAATGACGATGAGTCATTCTTGATGTCAATGTTTCCATCCTCGTCAGATTCTGCCTCAACCAAAGAACCCTTGCGTCGAAGCTCCTTCACTTTCAGAAACTCGTCATAATGGGCTCGTCTGTGCTCTTTGAAACTCAAACTCCTCTCAGAATCAGAATCTGACAGTCATGAGAATAAAAATTCAGATTGAAACAGTGGACTGCCTTCCAGTGTTAAGCAGTTGCAAGACACCGTACATACATGGTTACTGTCAGCTCATACTGTTTTCATGTAAAAAAAAAAAAATAATAGTTCAAGACGCCCCTTCATTCCTGGCTATCCAAGCCATACTTGGACTAATAACCTTCTCTCAATAATCAGAAATGCAATTCACAAATGCAACTGGTATTACGTAGTATGAAATATTTTTAAATCCTAGGACTACTTATAATACTGGGACATGCCTCTTCTAACACTAGGAACTCTTCAATGAAGCCACTATCAGCGAGACAGCGAACTCAAGTTAGATTCCCCCCCCCCCCCCCCAAAACACACACACAAAATCCCACCCTACGCACTCTTTCTCTAACCAGATCCAAATATAGTAAGGGGTAAAAACAAAAAAACATCTCCACCGGCCAGATTCCTGCCGCAAATCTCAATGAAGATGATAGTATTAAATTCCTCATCCATTATGGACATGATTTAATGCAGATCCACACATCACATTTTGAACTAAATGTAGTACACCAAAAGTCACGAGCTCATTGACCATCACAGAAGTTTCACTTTCCATGATAAAAAACAATATTTCAAGTGCCTGTTCAAGCCAGGATTCTGGTCTCTGGTTAACAGGTCTAGTTCTAGTAAAAGTAGCAACAAACTTCCTATACAAACACATTCATGCATCATGCAGTCTTTTTTAAATTAAAAATTCACACAATAATGATCCTATACTGGGCCTAGAGCTTGTTAGCCCAAGGCATGAAGAATTGAAAAGTTCAATCACTATCTCTAATAATGACTGGGAACCACAGTTTTGTAAACATGAGATAATTAATTAAATCTCTACTGCTGGCAGGCTAGATGGGCCGCAAGTGTGGAGGTATCTGTAAGCAACTAACTACAAGATACAAATTCTGCAGACAAAATCCAGAAGCAAATAAAAGGAGGTGAGAATGAACCAGAAACAATACCTTCATCATCCTGCTCCATAGCATCTCCCTCATCCTCTGACGAAGTCCAGCCACCATGACGATGAGATCTCTTGCTACTTGAAGAAGCAACATCATCCAAAGCATGACGTATAGCTTCAGCACGTTCAGCCTCCTCAATACACTCATCAAAGGCACTACGGATAGGAGACAAAGAACCTAAACAAGTAAAAAATATACAGAACTGGTTAAAAATCCAGCAACACAAAGAGACAAGACCCGTTCCAGGAAAAAAAAATCTCCCTGAACCCTTTCAAAGAAACAATATGAAACAGAAACACTTAAGCAAGAGGAAATCTTTTATGGTTATGCTTGAGCAGCTGCATCAAATTACTATTAGAGTAAGAAAATACTGTTTGCACCTCCTTTACATGCGAAAGTGTTTGATAAAAAGGAAGGCGCAGCTGTTACACAGTGCATTCAGTAGAAGGCATATACATGGCATGTATCACGTGTACATTGAGTGGTACTTAACACCAAAACAGGTAGCACAAGGGAGTAATAGATAACAGAGTTTAGCTTTTAGTCTCATGCAAAGAGAAAGAAGATATCACATTACTTTTACCATAACAATCCAAGAGTACAAGGTACCAAAATCCCGAGTCAAAACATGATGTTTAGCTCCTAAAGTAAAAGCCCAAAATATGCGGATACAGACACACTTGTGAGAATTAAATTTAGATAACTTACCATCATCTTCAATCATTGGGTGATAGGGCGTCTTTGGCTCAGTGATCTTTTGCCTTACAGGTTTATTTTTCTCAATGTCTCCCAAATTAGCTTCATCCCACCTTACACGTCCTCTGTTCCTGATAAGAGCACATACCTCAAAATGATTAGATTCTTAAATACACTTGAATGAAGATTCTGCATAACTTTTTTGAATCACCAATCTTCCTCTGTTATTTTTAGAAAATAAAAATGCAACACTTTGACTAGCATGCTGTCAATACACAACTTTGACCATAAATATCTTTAAAGATTGGTGATCAAAGTTAGTATATAAATAGTGCAAAACTAAAAATGTTTGAAGAAGATATTTTGACACATAAAAAGTATGTTAGAAATCACCTAAAATGAAACTACTACTCACTTTCATACCTCAATACCTTCAAGACTCACAGTAATATTGTGAATAGTAACAGAACACATGCATGGGGTAGAGAGAGTATGGCAATTCAAGAAGGAACTTAAGTGTTATTCTAGTTGTCTGCTGTTTTCTCCAAATTAAAAATTGCTACGTAAAAAAGATATTTCATCCCTTGCTTCACATACATGGGGTAAAGTAGAGTCACAACAATGTTGTAAATTATAACAACGCACAAACATAGGAACAGAGATGATGACAGCAGAAAAACAGGGGAGCATGATAAATACTAATCCAACTTATGAAAATATAAAAATAAAATCTTTCTTAATTTTCACATCTCTTCCTCCTAATCCCTTAACCTGCGCAAAGCAAGATAGAAAGTAGGCGATGAGATTGGGGGAGGGGAGAGTTCTTGTCAATAGGTCAGGAAGAATTAGGGCCACTAAACCCTTCCCAAATATACAGCTACCTATGATAATATTGGTTAGTATCTTTCTCAATCCCTTAATCTGTGCAGAGCACAGTAGGAAGTAAGCCATTACCAGAACTACAAGATGAAAAATATTATATGAAAGCAAATGTGCCAAATGATGGATCCAAAATCTCCCAATAACCTACCAAAGGTTATAGTTTTCTTATTAAACCCCCCTGCATAGTACTAAAGAAAATAGGCCATGGACATACAGAACTACACGATACCAACCAGAAAACCAATAGACAGTATCAACAAATGGAATGAGGATGATAAATCAATATCCTTTTTCAAATTTTAATGACGAACAACGATCTTCTCAAAAGCATTTAATCTGAAAGCAAGGAGGAGTGGAAAAGACATACTTCATTACTCGACGGAATCCAAAATATCAATCTTCTTGAAAAGTCAAGGCAATGCAGAGCAAAGCAGGTAAAAGCAGCAAACTTCTGCTGGAGGACATATAGAAAATTAGTTATTACAAAGAAAACCAAACTCTGCATGGGGGTTTTGTCTCCAATCTACTCAAACAATACCTTAGGGTTAAGAGATGAAAGCAGAAATGTGGTATAAAAGAACAAACACTTCAATTATAAACTACAAATGGCAGAAAAAGCAACTCAAACAAGTCATAGTTACGTGATACAATATATGATAATGGTGATTATCCAAAGAATACTGTTATCTAATCTAAGACAGATAAAGTGAACTACGAAAACAATAAACTGACAGTTTAAAACCTCTTAAGGCCAGGAAAGAAAATCTGAAAACAAGAAAGAGTTCCAAGTACAGAAATTCACAAAAGATGTCTTTGTTTACAGACTTAAAGCCCCGCATCTACTAGGATCACCACAACCTGGAGTCCTGGAGGATGTAATGCAAATGTACAGCATAATTGCTGAATGGTGATATAAAGTTATGTAAAAAGATATTCCTTGAGACAGCCTCGAGCCCTACCATCAACAATTGTCCTACCACCACTTCCACCATCCTCCAACCACCCACACCTATAGAAAAGATACTAGGGTGAATTTTTGGTATGAATCTAGGAAATGAAATGGAATGGAAGCATATAAGAAGAGGAATGGGTAAATGGGTAATGTTAATTGTTACCATTATTAGTTGTTTGGTATACCTAAGAAAAGGAATCCCTCATATCAAATTGAGGATTGAGGAGAAATATAACTTTATTACCATAGGGTTGGTAGGGGTAACAAAATGGTGGTAATAGAACCTTTTGAATTAGAGTGTGTTTACTCTACCTCTCATACCAAACACTGGGTGATGGAACAATTAATTGATTCCATTTTCTCCTCTTAAAAACACTATACCAAACATATTCTAAGTGAGTATATTTTTCCTCGACAAACTCCATGTCTTTCTTTAAAACTTCACCATTACACAATTGCTATGTAATAGGATAAAAACAGCCTACAAGCATATAAATCGTAGTCCAAAATAGCGCTATCTTAACCAGCTTTATGAAGAGCATTAACAATCAAGTTCCCATTTTTTCTGCAATTAGCCCTTAACCAGCCAACAACACATTCTACAAACATATATTCCGTATTACCAAACTTCAGAAATCAGAAAGCATAGTTTGCTGTGTACATACAAAACCAAATTTCACACATCTGCAGCATAAAAGCTTAACCCCACAAAACCCCAGTTAATTCGATAACATTAATACACTTTTAACATCATTAATTAAAGCAATTTCATCAAATTGTCTAAATCTTGAGACATACTTAAACTAACAGATCAAATAACCAGCAAAAATCAATGAAACCTATCAGCTGAATTACAATACAAACAAAATTGACACCATATAAACATAAAAGGCATTAAAATAACATAAATTTTCTGATAAACTTGTTCATGCAATTGAATCGATCCAAATAACAAACCTTGCATATATATCGAGAGATTTTCACTGCTCAATCAATACCATTTTCTCATAAATTTAACATTTTTATTGATGGCATAAATAATACCCAGAATTAAATTAAGAAATAAAACAATGGGATTTACCTGAATTTCTCAACCTGATAAAATAGTAACAAAAAAGTGGAAATTCGATCGTTGGGTAAGGAGTAAGAAGGAAGAAGAGAGAGAAAAATGGTGATATTTCTCTGATTTTCTACGTTTGCCTTAACCGACTCTTCTAGACTTTTTAGAGTTGACCCGAATGGATAATTTCACCCGTAAGTCCGTAACACTGATTTGACCCATCATTACTTTTTTTTTTTTTTTTTTTTGACAAGATTAGTTGTTTTTGTTGTTATTTTGTCTTTGTAAGGTTAATTAAAAATAATAATAAGGTTAATTAAAAAAAACTTAACCATTAAGATTTGTCTTAAAATGTGTTTTTAATTGCAACGATATAATTTATCAAATCAATAAAAATAAGATTGAACGATGAATGTTGCTCACAATTATTATAAGACGAAATTTAAATCATGAGTACCATTAAGAAAATGGTTATCTTTGCTTTACATCAATAAATTTGGCACAAGAATCTAAAGACATGATATTAAGAAAATGGTTGTCTTAGCTGTTTGTTGAAGTTTTTTGATTGAACTTTTGATTGTTTTTGGCCCATAATCAAAGCAAATGCTTTCGACTTGGCCCTTAATCAGATAGAGGATCAGTGCATGTACAATAATTCAAGCTCCATACAATAATTTAGGTCTCTATGCTTAATTTTCTTGCTAGATGATTGACTATTTGAGTTTTATTAATATAAAACTACACAATCTAATTTCATATAATACCTAATTTACGTCATGTGACCGATTGAATTCTTTTTACTTAGTAAATATATACCACCTACGAATATAGGTTTATATCGAAATTGCTACAAGACTTCAATGAGAGCTACTTTAATACCTTTTATTAAAGTAAAAAAATTACAGAAGACAAGTTTAATGTATAATCTTTTTAAAATTTAACCATTTTCATAACAAGCAATGATTTTGAAAAAAAAAAAAAAAAAAAAAAAAAACTTAGGAATGTCTTCAAAAAAAAAAAAAAAAAAAAATATTGGGGTTGGCCCAGAGAGCAAATTAGGTTTTACAATGGCTGAGTGTAAAGCCAAAGCCCAAGAAGCTTACCTAAAGCCTACAAATTGAAGCCCAAAAATGAATTAGGGTTTTTGCCTTATAACCAGTTATCATTTCCAAGCTATCAATATATTTTCTTTTTAGGGTTTCTGCAACCACAGCGGCGATTTCCCAGCGGTACCAGCAACAACTTCATCATCAACCATGGTTCTCAAGTAATTTTCTCTCTTTACTTTCTTTCTTCGTGTTTATCCATCTTCTGTGTATGAAATTTGTAAGTTTCTGTTGTTAATTGATCTATGATTTACAGTTGTTTGATTTTATTTGCTGTGAATTCGTGCTTTATAATCTGTTAATATTTTCATCAAATTCATCGATTGAGAGTAATTTGGTCCAAAAGTTTGAGTTTGAGTTTGAGTTTTGCATCATGTCGTTTGATTTGATTTGAGGTTGAAGGTGTTAATTGGAGTATAATATGGTACTTAATCCGAGCTTCTCAAACCAGAAAGTTCGTGTTTCCCCCCTTTTTTTTTATGTAAATAATCTTGGTAATTTAATGAATTATATCATTGTTAGATTGTCATTTCACTGTAAAGTTTGTGAAATGATCTTGACAAAACTGTTATCTGAGTAGTGAGAATGTAATTTAATGGTTTTACATGGTTGGCTTGTTATGTTCAACAGTGTTGAGAACTTGAAATGATAATTAGGGAATGTAATTTGATTGTCTTTATGCTTTCATTGGACTTTTACAACCTTGTTCTCTATTTTGGGTTTTGAACATTCTCGGGATTTGAAATTTTACCCCGTCTTGAATTACCTTGGCTCACATTTAGGGTTTGATCATAGTGAATCATTGGCATTATGATTTAGGTGCTCTACAATTTATGCAATAATTAGAGATCAATTGTGTCAGGGATGACTGAGGAACATTATAATTATGTGCTCTACGAGAGTAAATGATTAATTTACACTCTATTTTGTCTCATAATTGTTGATGCTGGTAATGAAATTTTTTTGCTTAAATTTGATTCTTGAAGTATGTTTTATATCTTTGTTATATTGTTATTACAAAACGAGAGACCTTGTTGCTCTGTATAGCTTCTTTGATGTATGTATATTGAATCTGGTGCTTATTTTTTGCATTGCAGGACTGAGCTTTGCCGATTCAGCGGCGCCAAGATATATCCAGGTAGGGGTATCAGATTTGTGCGTGGAGATTCACAGGTACGACTAGTTGTATTTTCTTTTTATAACCTGTTATCTTGGCAGGCTTTTTACTAGAAACCAGTCAACTTACTAGTGATGTGATTTGCCAAATATAGGTTTTCCTCTTTGTTAACTCCAAATGTAAGAGGTATTTCCACAACCGTCTCAAGCCAGCAAAGCTTTGCTGGACTGCTGTGTACCGAAAGCAGCACAAGAAGGTTGGTTGCTATTCTCCTCTTTCTCCCATTTCTCTGTACTTTTACATTTTGTGCACCTAATGTAAGGTTCAAGTATATAGCCCTGTTCTGTATGTTATCTGCGTTAATTTGATGCTCATCAAGTTTTGGTATTTTATTTATTTTACAGGATATTTCTGCTGAAGCTGTGAAGAAGAGGAGAAGAGCCACCAAGAAGCCTTACTCAAGGTCTATTGTTGGTGCTACTTTGGAAGTCATCCAGAAGAAGAGAAGCGAGAAGCCCGAAGTTAGAGATGCTGCCAGAGAGGCTGCTCTTCGGTTAGTTTTATTCTTGTGTAACTCAAGAGTCGTGAATTACCAAGTTTATTGTTTACTTATTACCAATAAACTTGACGCCCATTTGAGCATGTAATGACCTTCCATTTTTTTTGGTTTTATAGTGAAATCAAGGAAAGGATCAAGAAAACTAAAGATGAAAAGAGGGCAAAGAAAGCCGAGGTGGTAAAGTCCCAGAAGGTCTCAGGAAAGGGTGCATCCAAGGGTGCTGGACCTAAAGGCCCCAAGCTTGGAGGTGGAGGTGGAAAGCGATAAACAATTCATCTTACCTAGTGTTAGCTTTGGGTTGAGTTTGAGAACAGTGCAATTTTGAGTTGTTTTAATATGTTTGGCAGTAGACGTTTATTAATCGCTACAGATGTCTATGTTATCTCCAGATTTTTTCCGGTTATGAAAGATTTATATTCTACTTTGTTATCTGAGCGATGTCAAGGTGTTCCCTAATATGAATAGTTTTACTTTTCCTTTCAAATGTTTTCATGTTCCCTCATGAGGAACTTGCCTCAGTATTGCCCTTTTGCTTGCTGAGGTGCTTGTTAGTTAGTCGCAAGGTTACTTGAAGTTCATGGTGTAAGCACAAAACTTATTATGTTGAATCTCAACTAATACGGATAATTGGCAATTGCTGCGAAAGTGCATATCTTAAAATTTGTTCGGTTATATCTTGGCTGCATGAAAAGCGACTAAGCCATTTTGGTTCACTTGATCTAGTTTATTTGACACTTTGCTACATACTTGAATGCAAGATGATCTAGTTTGTGCCTTGTGGTGCATGTTATTGAGTTGTTGGCATGGCATTGACCTTAATTAGGTATTTTGGAACTGTTGGAATGTCGCTAGCTTGTTGTCCTGGCCTTAATTAGGACTTTCAGGACAGAAGGCTGCAATTGTACCAATGCTGATTGATACAGGATAGCTGCAATAACGCCAATGCCGATTGATGCAGGATTCTATTGTTGTTTTACGCTAATTCTACGTGACTATTGAGTATCAGTGTATGTATATTGGTTCCATTTTGTCTTTAGAGTGAATCCAAAGACGATAAGGGTATACTTCCTCTGCATAATGTCTACCAGCAATCCAGCATGTATGGCTCTACTGGTGGTGAGATGACACCGTGCAATTTCCTACCATTCTTATCCAAAGTTGGTACCCCAGGAATGTATCAAAGTGCCAATGTGCCATCTCATATTCTCATTAACTGTAATGTAAATCACCATAATCTTTGAATAAGCACAAGAAAAGTTTCACTCATATCACCTAAAGTTTATTACATTTTCAGTAACCTGTTATACAATGAAAACTTATCCCATAAATAGGAACATAAACAAACCATTACACATTCTTATGAAATTAAAGACTGCATTTTATAATGCCGAGTGATTATGCTAAACCTTCTTGCTGCTAGATATGAGGGCTTTTGGCCTAGTCTTGAACAGAATCTTATGCCTAATGATTCCGATCACATCCAACTCCACTGCGGGTGATGATTTGGAGCTTACGCTTCGCTCTTCATCAGAATGCTTTACCTTCTTCAATACTAAAAGTGGCTTCTTCAGCTTGATCTTTGATCCAGTTAGCTCATGGTACCCAATTGTAAAGGTGTATGTCTCCTGCAGGATACAATATAAATCAACATCCAAAGTTCGATGTCACACCTATACAAATTGAACCATGAATATGTACCAAACTATTATGTCACACTAAAACACTTCAAACAATAAACATGAAAGTTGAAATGTTAAGACTCCAAGGGTTTCCAATTGACATGCGAAATTAATTGTTACGAAGTACATTCTTCGAAAACACTCACAACTTCACAAGTCATGATAAGTTGATAACTAAAGAGTTATAGAATATGACCCTTTTATAATAGTTGTGTCATTTCTATCCTCTCCAGTTCAAAAGTAACAACTTTTTCCGAATATGTTATCATAACACACGTGATCTTAAACAACAACAAATTTGTCAAAAACAATTCAATACCTGAGAAGAAGGACGGCAAAGTCGGCCGATTTCGAGGTTTTGAAGACGATCTTGGAATTGAGGTTGAGCTTCAATAACACCTTGCAACTCAATAACCGCCCATTCTTGACAATTGTTTTCACCACAGCTACATTTCATCTGTATTGGCCCCATTTCCCCCTTTCACCTGTATAATCTGCACAAAAAATCAATTACTCCATTTTACTAATAAAAAACCCAACAAAAAAAAAGACAATAATAAATTCACAATCAATTTGAAATTCATTATAAAAGCAAATTAATCAAAATTCGCATCAAATTTTCGTAGATCTTTAAGATAAGTTCAAAAGAAAACATAGCAAACTTACCAGGAAATCGGAAAATATGGCAATAACTACGGAGGCGATAAAATCCGGCGGCGACGAAGAGGCGGCCACAAGAACAGTTGAGTTGCCTGGAAAAATCTTATTTCGCGCGCTTTTGTACTTGGAACAGAACTTAAACGGTGTCGTATATTCATAATTTTTTTGGTTTGTGGGCTAGGTTTGGGCTCTAAGGATTTCAACACAAATATAAAGTATTAAAGCATATGGTTATTATGATAAGCATGAAAAATGAAATATTTTAATTAATGAAAAACGAAGGAAGTAAATGTAATCTTTACTCCGTAATTTGTAAATTCCAAAATAACTATGTATAAAGGTAGGTCGAGAGAGAGAGTTATATTGTCATGTGATGCAAACGCTATATTGGAATTTGATTGTCTTATGATGGGTTAATTTGACAACTTTGTCCCATTTCTCTAAGCTTGGTCCATGAGATCTAATTTGAAAATACGAGCTTATGGTTGATTTATTTAGGATGATTAAGATTAATTTCATTTAGGACAATCGTTAACTTCGTCAGTCATTAGGGTTAATTATGACCCGAAACCACCCTAAATACATTCCCCTACCCTCGTAACCACCCACATTCCTTTTTCTCACCCCCAAAACCATCCCAAATTTCCTTTTCTCATCCTTAAAAAATCAATCATACGGATATGATTATGGAGATTTAGAGTGGTTTCGGGGGTTGGAGAAAGGAGATGAGTGGTTTAGGGGATGCGGGGAGAGATTTAAGACGATTTCGATACATAATTAACCAAATTTCACTCATCTTGTTGTCATTAGGGGTATATGATAAACTTTTGTAACAACTTAGGGGTATATGATGAATTTGAAATTTTTCAGGGGTATATGGTGAATAAACAAAAAACTCAGGAGTATATGGTGAAAAACTGTTACTGACAAAATAACTTCATATGTTAATGACCAATTATGGAAATCAAGAGAACTAAACCTACACCTGACATTAGATATACCTATACAACATACATAGTTGCTGATATATTGTCAATACAAGAAATAAAAAGGGAGGGGGGGAGAAAGAAAGTTTGTCACAAGTTCTAAGAACCCTATTCTTTCTAAATGCAAGCTCTTCCTTGCATCTATCTTCACATTCTAAGGTATGCACCTATGTTTTAGCAAGTTTCTGTTGAAGAAGCAACACGAACAAGTACGTACATCCTCTTACACACCAAACGCACTGGTGCCTGTAAGAGTTTTAATAGCAAAATCGATACATGGATCCTCAAACAAATCAGCAAAAAGCGGGCTTTCAGGACCTTCCTTAGCCTTACTATCAGTGATCATTCTGTCACACTTCTGATCTACTGCAGATGATTCTTGATCCTGATACGGTCTTGGAATGCTTTTCAACTCCAAATTTTCTTTCTTTACTTTGAGCTCGGATGATATACCTGTACAAGGCAACTTATTGGAACTTGTAACATTGTCTTTGCAATAGTTGACAGCAAACTTAGGCTTCTTATTGCTGTTACTAGTCCTGGTTTCAGACAATTTTTCTCCAAGAAGGGATCCTATGGCCGGCGCAGAAAGATAGACAGTTTTAGGATTTTCCTTTTCCTTAAGCATTGAATCTATGATTTCTGATATATTTGGAATGCTGACAGTACTGCTATCTTCACCTGCAACATCCAACCCAATATTCAACATTTTCATCGACGATTTCAATTCTTATCTGCACAACTTCTAGCTAATACAGTTCTTTTAGTTTTCACCTTTAATTACTTACATTGATCTGGATCAAGTATAAAGAAAGGAGTCGATTCTCTTTTCTTCTTAGTTGATCTAGAACTCCTCCCTCCTTTCAAAGGTTTACTGATTGAATTCTCCACTGTCTCCTTTGGAGTTTCAGCTCCGGTTTTTCCTCTCTTGGATTCATTCCTGGCTCTCTTCTATTCTCGAGCAGCAGTTGGACATAATAATTTTTCAATATTGGAATGTAACAATAATGTAGGTTTTGGTTGTAGTGTAGTACCATAAAATTAAGTTTTTATAAGCTAAGGGAGGATTCTACCTTCTCATCTCCATTATTTGACTCGATTGATTTCTTCTTTTTTGGTACATCCTTTCTCAACAGCAATGAATCAAAACAACAGGTGAGTAATTGAAACATTTCACACCATCAAACACAATGATTGATTTCACATCAATGTTAAAGTTGTAGAAACTAGTGAAATCACATAGCAGTAAATCAGAAAAGATATTTCATTCTGATTTTTGAAGTTGTTGATTTATTATATACTTACAGTATGCTGAATAAAATCAAAGTTCGCGTCTTCACAGTCCTTTGGTTTGTTCTTGGTTACATGTTTCCCTAACTTTCCCGATAAAAGATACCGATCAATGTCCTTCAAAGACCGGAATATATATCCATTTACAGGATCAGTATAGTACTGAAAATGAAACACATTACTTCAGACTTAGTTGATAAGTCCAAGAGAGCTAAATAATGGCTTAATGAATGAACTTGTAAGACATATCTAGCAGCATGCTAACTAATTCATGTAGCAGTAGTGTAGGATATGATTTCAAGGTAGATTAATAAGCTTATTCTAAAACTATATTACAAGCACATCCTACTAGTAATCATTTACATCAACAATTAAAGAAATTTTATCTAGTAGCAACATTTATCCATATCACAACCCCAATAATATTAAACCCGTAAAAATAAATACTCCGTACTTCATATATGTTTTCTTTACCAAAATACCCTTACGAGTCCCTTGAATCCCCAAAACACCCCGTGACGCCGTAACTATGTATCAATTCATTATACGATATGAAGAATGATAGCAACTTTTCTGATTAGTTACCCTCAAACAACAAAATATCATAAGCAAACAGAGATACAGATTATTATACTACATGCATCTACTATTTCTTGAAAATAGAAGAGTTTAAGTACAACATTATTAAAACAGAACATACACATTGAATAGAATGTGAAAAAAAAACCTCATTAATAACCAATGCATTAAAATTAAGCAAATGAATAAGTGAATAAATAACAGAAAAAAGAAGATTAAGATTAAGAATTATACTCTATCTTTTTTGCCACTTTTCCTAACTCTGATCTCAATCTTCCATCCTTCAGGTAGCCAATCTTCAGCCCTAATTTGCTCTCCCATTATATCTCCCTTATTACTTCTTAGATAATTAACACTAATTAACCTTACTTATCAAAAAAATTTGCCCACTTTTATGCAACTCTACCTAAAACTTAGGGAGCACCGCTAAAATCTCAACATAGAGTGATCACATACATTTTCCACTTACTCACTTCACTCACTCACTCACTTAATCACTCACTCTCTTTACTAGTATTATTATTATTATTATTAAGTTATAAAATTATATTATAAAGTATAATATTAAAAGTCACAGAAAAATAGAGCAGTTTTGTAGAACACCAAGAGGGTTGATGTCCCACGTGGATGGTACCAAAGTTGTTACACTAACACGATAGAAACTGAAACAAACACACAATCTTACTTGAATTGTTTGTTTAAGAGTTTAAGTTCCGAGGAAAGACAAGAGCATCGTTCTTCCACTATCTTTTTCACCTTCTTTCTAGCTTGTGTTCCTCCCCCTTTTTTACTCTTCTATTTGGTCGTCTCACCAAAGTTTGTGTCTTCTTTGCCAATTGTCATCCTTCTTACGCCTTCCCAAAACGTGTCATATCTTACCATTTTTGCTTAGGGGTTTATATATCCTAAACGTCCCCTTATTTTCTTATTATATGTATATATGATCGATCATTGTTTCAAATGTAGTTGTTGACTCGTGAAATTGAAATGAGGTCGATTTCTAGGTTATGTATGTGAAATGCTATGCTGGCGTATGGTTAACTATTCAGTTTTGCTCGTAAACAAGGGATATTTGGAAAGAAATATCAATAATTAATATCAAATGTATACATAGTTGTTATATTGATGACAAACTTGTAAATAAGTTGAAAATTTTTAATAAAAAAAAAAGGCCGTAATGATAGATATACAAGCCAATCTAAGGCTTCATATATCAGTTTAAACTTTTGATTGAGTTGGCCTGATCATACGTCTTACACGCAATAATGTTATACAATGATGATTGTGATTGAACATTTAACAAATATACACTCATGAAAGTACAACAATTGCTCTACATTTTACCCTTGAGTATGTAACATGCGTTTGTCCTCCTCGTAAAGCTCCAGCAACGCAATCACCCTCTTTGCAAATTTACTGAAATGCCCTTTGTTCATGTATACAGCTTACCTGAGTATATATTGGGACATACTCATTTAGAAATTCATACACTTGATACATTACTAGAATGAATGGTGTAACATCTTTGCATTATATTACCCTTTGTGGCTCAAGTTTGCATATTATCATACAAACTAAAGAGAGTAGTATATAGTTTGTTCTTATGAAACCTTTTTTTTTGTTAGGTAGGTTGGTACAATATATTGTCAGGAGATTCAGGACACAAGTAACTATACAACAACAATAATAATGCAATATGATATGCTCTCTATATAAATCTTGTGTGGCTCACAATGTTTGAACATATTAAGGGTGTTTATCAAAATAAACATTCATTATTAATTAATTTGAACATTAAGTTATTATTGTCTGCCAAGAATAGCAGGCCATAATTCAACATTTGCATATGCTCATATAGTTCCCTAGTTCAGCCACAACAGCACCTATACAGTTAGGAGTAGGGCCTTATGTCTTACTTGTATCATTTACATCTTGAAAATTCAAGTTACATTATTCCACAATATGGTATTTGTGCAGAGAAAGCATTTGTGGGTTCAAACAAACCCGTCCACACCTTCATTAATTTGGCTCTGCTCCTGTTTAAAAATACATTATTTGCGTGATGTCTATTTTTAGATAAAGTCATATAGTACACAAATTCTTATATGTGGCTAACCACGTGGTATGATCACTTCACATATAAGGCAATTAAATAAGTGATAGGGGGTTACGGTGATGAGCAAATGAGGTTACCTTGACGTATGTGGGTTACTTAAATGAAAAAAAAGGGTTACTCACTTACATAAGCCGAATCCTTCTTTCAATTTTTAAAGCAAAAAAATAGGGGTTACTCGAATGAACAAATGTAATTACTTATTTCTAAATTAGTTGATATTACTCATATAATGAATTGGAGTTACTTTAATGGACAAAATGAGGTTACTCTTATGAATAAATAGGAATAGTCATATATATAAATAAAGATTATTCTTATAAATCAATGTGGCCACACCGTGTGCCCGTGTGGCTAGCCACATACAAAACTTACTCCATATAGTAATATGATCCTTTTTAAGTCTTTCAAGCTTTCAACCCGGCCTCTTCCAAAAAAAATAAACACCATCACAAAGTAATTAAATTAGTTATAATCTTAAGAACGAAGAAATTAAACACTATCAACATAACCAATAAATCAATAAGAAGTATTATTTTTATAATCTTGTACATACAAAAGAATCTTTAGGGTAAAAAGAACTAACTATACATACATACATGAGCGTGCATATCTATCTAACATACATGATTAGGTAGTGCAAATCATCAGCCAAAATTTGTAACACCATTATATTGCAGAAGATTATGAAAACAAAATTAAATATACAGCTAAATCAACCATATCACATCGTTAAATTAAACAAAGACACACTATCCCTTGAAACTTGTACAATCTTCGAAGAGCTCATCACGAGCTAGCCTTAGCTTAACGATTTTGAATTGGATTTGGAGAACCTCCTGGTATTGATCTCCTATGTAATGTATACAATCTGTCCTCGTCGTTCATGAAATTAACACGGCTGCCATTACAGAATTGCAGAAGCAATGTTAATATGCATGTTAACGTGTAAAGGACGAGTAATGAAGTGTTTTGTTTGATCATGGAGAAAATGATCAATTTGAAATGAAGAAGAATAAAATTTGGAAAAGGGGAAGATTAGCAGAACAAATTAATGCATGGTTTTGTTTTTGTGGGCTGTTTTAGTGTTATATAATGGTAAGATTTGTTATGTTAGGTTGTCAAAATTTGTTGAATTTATGCATTATTAGTACACGTAGTGTAAGTATTAATTAAATGAAGAACTAACCATATCATATCATAAGGTACGTGCATTATTGAAGCTTTATTGGAGGCTACTAATTAGTTAATTGAGTTTTTCTCATCATGCAAATGGCTGACTTTATATGTTTGATCACCATTAATTATTTGGTCAAGAATTAATATTTAACATTTTTAATTGCCCACAAAAACATGCCTGGCCAGTTCATTGACATGATCGAAAATTGAAAGTCCTTTTTGTGAACAAAAGTCTCTCTAAAAGCTAGGGTTATACACCACTTATACATTTTCAGTTTGATTGAGATTAATTTTTTCTCTTTCTATGGTACAATATTTGATTCGTAATATATCATTATAGCATACTCCTTCTGTTTCTGAATATCTGACACGCTTTGACTTTAGTATAACTTTGACCATCTTTTTGTATTTGTACGGTAGATAATCTCATAATACGGATAGTGAGCAATATTAATTGCAGAATCTCCTGGAGTCCGAGAGACTATTTACTTTCCGCATTCTTACTCACTCAGACGTATTATAACTTGATCGTCGAAGGCGAAACTCCAACCAACCGGGGTCTCCGTGCTTTCGCAGGTACAGGCAGTCGGCTACCAGTTCTGGTGTTGTAACTCTCCCGTAGGATACATCAAAAAACCCCGAAACATTTGGCGCCGTCTGTGGGGAGAGTACTTCCAGAATGGCATCCCATGAGTCTGTACCACTTAATAACGAGAAACGGCCTTTGGTCGAACCTGAGGTCCATACAGACCAAGATAGTGGCGACGACTAGGAGTCGAAGCCTATATGGCCCCAGACGGGTCGTTCAGATCCAGGCGCCCCCGTCCCAAGGAAACAAGGGAACGGGATAATGACAAAGGTGAACAAGCCCAAACGGCTGAGGGTGTTGCCCCTGTTACCAGAGACGAACTCATGAAGTTCATGAGTAGTTTCAAAGGGGAAATCAAGGACCTCATAAGTAAGAAAGCAGGCTCCCACAAGGGTCAGTGCCCTCTGGGAAGAAGCCTTCTCCGTCTTGGAAGAAGCCTTCTCCCTTTGGGAAGAAGCCGGTTAAAGACCGGATTCCAACTCCTCATCCTAAACCACAGGGACCGGAGTAGCCCATGGTGGATCTTTCAAAGTTCTGTTTCCCCGAAGTGGGAAAGAGGAAGGCCATCCGGCAAGTTCAGCCGAATGGGTCAAAAAAGACATTCTCCGATGCTTGGATGTTTCTCCAGCAAAAGAGAAGTCAACAAATGTCTGAGTCGGCCTTCATGTCGACATACTCAGACAGTCTCTATAATACTTCAATGAGGTATTCGGAGACAAACCGAGAGAGTTAATCAGGCTGCATGTCCGCACGAACTGGCCCCAGATTATCCAACCGGCTCCGTATGTGCCCCAACAGTCATACTTGCCGTATGGATCTCCTTACATGCAGTCGGCTCTCTTTGAGGGTCAGGTGACACAGAATGTCCAGCCTATGGACTGGAAGCTTCGATTGCTGAACCTTGGCGAGGGCTGGGATCCTATGTTAGGTGGTTCAATCTGATGAGAATTCAGATCCAGGAACTATTTGACGAAGTTGCCTACACAGACTTCTTCAAGGGTCTGAAATCGACCTAGTCAGAAAGAGGGTAGCAACCCTCCAGGAAGCTTTGATGGAAGCCGAAGCCTACATACAGGGGACGGAGCTCTGTGCCATCAAGCAGCCGTCGGATCCTAAAAAGTCCGATAAAAGGGATAGCCAATCAAAAAAGAAGAGAGCAAAAAGAGAAAAGAAGTCTGGGTGGCTGACCACTCTGGTCAGTCATCCCAGAAGAAGAAGAAAGAGTTGAAACCGTATGTCCCCAAGTACGAGTTCAACAAGGATTGCTCCTCCATCCTCATGGAGATCAAAGACCGGTTGTCTCTAGAGAAACCGGCTGCAATGAAGAGTTCCATCAAAAGCCGGGACAAGTCTAAGTTCTGTCATTTTCACGAGGACATAGGCCATGACATCAATGGTTGATATAGCCTCAGGCGGCTACTAAACCGCCTGGCTGATAAGGGGGCTTTAAAGTCCTACCTTGTGAATCCCAAGGGCAACCCCCGGGCAAACAATGGATAGTCGTCTAAGAAGCCAGACAATCTTGCTATAAGCTCTGACACTGATGAGGAGAAAATCATGTCTATAGCAAGCGGCTTCGCCGGAGGTGGTCCAACCATCCGGGGCACAAAAGATAACATCCGGAAGTTGGAGGTCAACTTAGTGGATGAGGGCCAGGCATGAAAAGACACCTTCCCTGAGGTCATCATCTCTGAGAAAGACTGGGGCAAGGTCAGGCGGCCTCATGATGACCCCATAGTCATCGAGTGCAAAGTCGCCAACCAGCGAGTAGGCTAGATCCTCATTGATACCGGGATCTCGTCTGACCTTATCAGCTGTAAGTGCTTGGCAAAGCTCAAGTACAAGCCTAGCAGCATGCACAAGGCCTCTCACCCCTTGGTCGGTTTTGGGGGAGAAGTGGTGCATCCAGTGGGAAGGATTGACCTACCCATCCGGCTAAGTGAGAAGGGGGAAGGGCGACACATGGTCGTCAAATTTTTGGTGGTTGAAGAATTGCCCGCTTATAACCTGATCTTGGCCCGTCCTACCCCCAACGAGTCCAAGGCAGTCTTCATTCCATCACTCATGTTGCTGAAATTTGAGAGGGATG